AAATATCAAGTTTTTTTTTAAATTGGAGTTATCTTTCTTTTTCCATGATTATAGTTGAATCAACTACAATCAATGCTTTATACAATGCCATGTTTAATTTTGACTTCCACTGATAAAACACAGATCAAGTTGAATTTGGTTAGTGTCACTTTAACCATTATTGAGTTATGCCCCTTTATAAATCGAAAGATTGCAAAATTTTTAGTTTCCATTCTGTAACTTAAGTTTGCCCCAACCAAACATTATGAAACCTATACACAATATTCATTACCACAAAACTAAGATCAAGTACAAATTTTTTGTTTCCGTTTTCTAACTTTAGTTTGCCTCAACCAAATGTTATGAAACTTATACACAATTCTTATTACTACATAATACAGATTAAGTGCGAAATTTGGTGGCAACACTTTTACCATTCTTGAGTTATGTCCCTTTATAAACATAAAAATTGCTGAATATTTCGTTTCCGTTCTCTAACTTTAGTTAGTCTCAACCAAATATTATAAAACTTATACACAACCGTTCTAGAGTTATGCGTGTTTACAAATAGAAAAATTGCTAAATTTTATACGACAGCAAAAAATTTTGCGGTCGTATATTGGTATGACGTTGGCGTCATCATCGTCGTCGTCCGAAGACACATTGGTTTTCGCACTTTAACTTTAGTTTAAGTGAATGGATCTCTATGAAATTTTACCATAAGGTTCAATCACAAAAGGAAGGTTGGGATTGATTTTGGGGGTTATGGTACCAACAGTTAAGGAATTAGGGGCCAAAAAGGGGCCAAAAATAAGCATTTTTGTAACTTCCAGACATTACTTGTGTGTTAGTTTATGGATCTCTCTGACATTGTACCACAAGGTTCCATATCACAAAGGGAATGCTGGGATTGATTTTGGGGGTAATTGCCTCAAAATTTTAGGAATTAGGGGCAAAAAAAGGGGCAAAAAACAAGCATTTTTCTAGTTTCATGATAATAACTTGTGTGTAAGTGTATGGATCTTTCTGAAATTGTACGACAAGGTTCCATATCACAAAGGAAAAGCTGGAATTGAGTTTTGGGGTAATTGACCAAAACGTTTAGGAATCAGGTTTTTTTTAACTTGAAATAGCGGAGATCACTAATTAAACCAATTCTTCCACAATATTCATCTTAACTTAAGCGTCTGCCACGTTTGCCTTGGTTTTTTTTAATTAACTGCTTATAGCACCCTGGTGCTTTGATTGCACCTTTTGTTTGCGGAAAACCATCTTTTTACACAAGTTTATTGTTTTCTGTTCAGTATTAAATTAATAGTTAAGATCCATTTTGTTACATCTGGTGATCCGTTTATTTGGCAATCACCAATGGCAGTCAGCAGGGTTTAAGAACATCCGTTGTTCGACCTGCTAGTCAAATGTGTTTTGTTAAAATATACTTTTTCACTTTTTTGGTCTTTCAGAAAATGTTGTTTGTGCTGTATTTAGACCCCTCTACCAAGAAATTTGTTTTGCATGCACACGTATAAAAATTGCGGTTTTTATACGACCGCAAAAAAATTTTGTGGTCGTATATTGGTATGACGTTGGCGTCGTCGTCGTCGTCGTCGTCGTCCGGCGTCGTCGTCCGAATACATATTAGTTTTCGCACTCTAACTTTAGTTTAAGTGAATGGATCTTTTTGAAATTTGACCATAAGGTTAAATACCACAAAAGGAAGGTTGGGATTGATTTTGGGGGTTATGGTACCAACAGTTAAGGAATTAGGGGCCAAAAAGGGGCCAAAAATGAGCATTTTCTAGTTTCCAGACAATAACTGTGGAACGGTGTATGGATCTCTCTGAAATTATACTACAAGTTTCCATACCACAAAGGGATGGTTAGGATTTGCTTTGGGGGGTTATGGCTCAAACCGTTTAGGAATTAGGGGCAAAAAAGGGGGAAAAACAAGGTTGTCCTGGTTAATGGACAAATACTTTAGTACAAAACATAATTTAAAGCAGTGTAAGGGAGATAAATCAAATACATCAATGAAATTATCTCCCTTACACTGCTTTTAAATTATGTATAAAGTAATGGTTAATGAACAATAAAGATAATCTAAAACAGTGTCAGGGAGGTAATCCAAATACAACGTTTTGGTTACTTCCCTTACACTGCTTTTAAATTATGTTTAAAGAAATGCATATTTTTAAAGAAATGCATATTTATAAAGGAAGACCAGTAAAAATATCTGCAAATGTTTTCATCTTTTTTTTTTACAAAAAAATCCATATGAAAGATTTGACACTATATTTTTATTAATTCTATTATAACATAGATTAAGTTAGCACTATGGTAAATTTAAATGGGTAATTATGGTTGCCATCTCCATTGGAAATTTGAATTGAGATTATGACCATATCTTGAGGGAAAGAATTTTTTTGGGGGAAAAAAGGGGGGGGGGGATAAAAAGAAATTGTGGGGGGCCAATTTTTTCTCATTTCAGATTTCAGAAATTAAAAAGAATTATTCTTCAAATATTTTTTTTTTTTTTTTCAAATTTCAAATATTGAAAAATTTCAAGAAGTAATCTTTAATTGCACAGTATGGCGCATTAGATTTGTAAAATCTTTGATCACATTTATTTATTTGTTATGCCGAATCTAACAGTGTATTTAGATTTTTAATTTTGGGTCCAGTTTTCAAATTGGTCTACATTAATGTCCAAAGGGTCCAAAATTAAACTTTGTTTGATTTTAGCAAAAATTGAATATATGAGGTTCTTTGATATGCTGAATCTAAACATGTATTTAGATTTTTGATTTTTGGCCCAGTTTTCAAGTTGGTCCAAATTGGGGTCCAAAATTAAACTTTGTTTGATTTCAACAAAAATTGAATATATGGGGTTCTTTGATATGCTGAATCTAACCATGTATTTAGATTTTTTATTTGTGGACCCCGTTATCTAATTGGTTCATATTGAGGTCAAAAGGGTCCAAAATTAAACTTTGTTTGATTTCATCTAAAATTGAATTATTGGGGTTCTTTGATATTCCAAATCTAACTGTGTATTTAGGTTTTTAATTTTGGGTCCTGTTTTTTAAATTGGTCTACATTGAGGTCCAAAGGGTCCAAAATTAAACTTAGTTTGATTTTAACAAAAATTGAATTCTTGGGGTTCTTTGATTTGCTGAATCTAAACATGTGTTTAGATTTTTGATTATGGGCCCAGTTTTCAAGTTGGTCCAAGATAGGGTCCAGTATTTAAACTTTGTTTGATTTCAACAAAAATTGAATATATGGGGTTCTTTGATATGCTGAATCTAAACATGTATTTAGATTTTTGATTATGGGCCCAGTTTTCAAGTTGGTCCAAATTGGGGTCCAAAATTAAACTTTGTTTGATTTCAACAAAAATTGAATATATGAGGTTCTTTGATATGCTGAATCTAACCATGTATTTAGATTTTTTATTTGTAGGCCCCGCTATCAAATTGGTTCATATTTAGGTCAAAAGGGTCCAAAATTAAACTTTGTTTGATTTCATCGAAAATTGAATTATTGGGGTTCTTTGATATGCCAAATCTAACCGTGTTTTTTGATTTTTAATTTGGGTCCCGTTTTTTAAATTGGTCTTCATTGAGGTCCAAAGGGTCCAAAATTAAACTTTTTTTGATTTCAACAAAAATTGAATATATGGGGTTCTTTGATATGCTGAATCTAACCATGAATTTAGAATTTTTATTTGTGGGCACCGCTATCAAATTGGTTCATATTGAGGTCAAAAGGGTCCAAAATTAAACTTTGTTTGATTTCATCAAAAATTGAATTATTGGGGTTCTTTGATATTCCCAATCTAACCGTGTATTTAGATTTTTAATTTTAAGTCCCGTTTTTTAAATTGGTCTACATTAAGGTCCAAAGGGTCCAAAATTAAACTTAGTTTGATTTTAGCAAAAATTGAATTCTTGGGGTTCTTTGATATGCTGAATCTAAACATGTGTTTAGATTTTTGATTATGGGCCCAGTTTTCAAGTTTGTCCAAGTTGGGGTCCAAAATTAAACTTTGTTTGATTTTAACAAAAATTGAATATATGGGGTTCTTTGATATGCTGAATCTAACCATGTATTTTGATTTTGGACATTGGACCATAATAGGTAAATTAAAAAAATTCAAGTTCTTAGACCACATTCTTTCTGTGTCAGAAACCTATGCTGTGTCAAATATTTAATAACAATCCAAATTCAGAGCTGTATCAAGCTTGAATGTTGTGTCCATACTTGCCCCAACTGTTCAGGGTTCGACCTCTGCGGTCGTATCAAGCTGCGCCCCAGCGAAGCATTTTATTATCCAATGCAATCATAGGTTTGAACGTTATTTTCAATTTAGACTTGTATATATTTATATTTATATTTATATATTTAAAAAGAATAGAGTGAACAGTCACAGAATGAACCCAGGGCAAACATGCATTTAGGACAAACAGATCCATTACCCTTGCATGCATTTACACGTTATTCTAACATTCTAACTTTTGATCTACACTACATAAAATTATTCTGTCAAATGTAGATGTAATTTTATTTTGACTTTATAAGATGAAAAATAAAATCTGCATAAATGAAAAGAATGCAAACTGGTCTATTTTACTTGTAAAATCTGTGCTGTATACAGTCATGACAGTATTGAACTATGATTAATCAATAATAGGGTCACAATTATCAGTTATTCACTTGAAATAATCAGTAAAATTTCACAACTTCTAACTTGTAAATTACCTGGTGAAAGTCAGATGCAGAAATGTTTGAATTTTACTTGAACATAAGTTTGGAAATAGTTTTCTTCAATTCTTATGCATTTGTATTTTACAAAGAAATCTACATGAAATATTTGATAATATATATTATAAACATGAATCAACATATGTCATGTATGTAGTACCTACAAATGACCTATGTAAATATAAAACTGTAAATTAAAAAAATTACAAGTTATTTTTGTTAAAGGAATTCCACTATGATTATATTGATATTTGTAGAGAAAATATACCGTTGGTTTATGCAGCAGCAATCCACTTTATTCTTCGAGTTAGAGAATTTGTTGTTAGAACATTCAAAGGGGATAATGTAGATGAGCATTTCTTTACAGATTTGATGTTAAAATTTGGAGAGATGTTTTGTTTAATTTCTGAGTAAGTATGAAAATATATTTTAAAAGACTGTTTTCTTGCTTTACTGATTATTGTGAACCATTTGTTAACTGTTTCAGTAGCATGCTCACATTTCAAATATTTCTACCAATGTCTACCTGCCAAAGAAAAGTTTGTGACAAATACACATGACAGCAAAATGTTAACCTAGGAAATTAGATGCCTAGTTTCATTCTTATGTTTTAAAAAGGTTTATTTGAAATATTTTTATCATACAAGTACAATTGGAAGAAGTTGAACATAAAAAAAACCCAAAAGGATGCACATCTAAAGATATATGAAAGATGTATATTATATCCGCACTCCTAATCCCCACTCTAGAAGTTGGGTTACAATGTATATCATGTTGATCATCTTGTACTTTTCGATCCGTTTGTTCATCACACTTTTCTCAGAAACTACTGAACGGAGTGAACAGAGTGACTTTAGTTTTGGTCAGCATCTTGACAGTGATGAGTTGTAAACTGTGAGCAATTTTTATACGACCGCAAAAAATTTGCGTTCATATAATGCCATCATGTCGTCGTCGTCCGAAGACACATTTGGTTTCCGGACAATAATGTAAGTGAATGGATCTCTATGAAATCTTACCAGAAGGTTCAATACCACAAAAACAAGCATTTTTGTAGTTTCCGGACAATAACTTATGTGTAAGTGTATGGATCTCTCTGAAATTGTACCACAAGGTTCCATATCACAAAGGGAAGGCTGGGATTGAGTTTGGGGGTAATTGCCCCAAACATTCAGGAATTAGGGGCAAAAAAGGGGCCAAAAATAAGCATTTTTCTAGTTTCCAGACAATAACCATGATAACTTGTGTTTAAGTGTATGGATCTCTCTGAAATTGTACTACAATGTTCCATACCACAAAGGGAAGGCTGGGATTGAGTTTGGGGGTAATTGCCCCAAACGATTAGAAATTAGGGGGAAAAAAAGGGGCCAAGAACAAGCATTTTTCTAGTTTCCAGACAATAACCATGATAACTTGTGTTTAAGTGTATGGATCTCTCTGAAATTGTACTACAATGTTCCATACCACAAAGGGAAGGCTGGGATAGAGTTTGGGGGTAATTGCTCCAAATTTTTAGAAATTAGGGGCAAAAAAGGGGCCAATAACAAGCATTTTTCTAGTTTCCAGGCAATAACTTGTGTTCAAGTTTATGGAATTCTCTGAAATTGTACATTTTTCATTCAAAATTTTTAAAAAAATTGGGGGGGGGGGGGGATTTTTTTAGGGGTTCATATTTTTTTTCTTCAAAATTTTTGAAATTTCAAATTTTTTGAAAATTTTTTTTTTGGGGGGAGGGGATTTGTCTACCTGCCAAAGAAAAGTTTGTGACAAATACACATGACAGCAAAATGCTAACCTAGGAAATAAGATGCCTAGTTTCATTCTTATGTTTTAAAAAGGTTTATTTGAAATATTTTTATCATACAAGTACAATTGGAAGAAGTTGAACATAAAAAAAACCCAAAAGGATGCACATCTAAAGATATATGAAAGATGTATATTATATCCGCACTCCTAATCCCCACTCTAGAAGTTGGGTTACAATGTATATCATGTTGATCATCTTGTACTTTTCGATCCGTTTGTTCATCACACTTTTCTCAGAAACTACTGAACGGAGTGAACAGAGTGACTTTAGTTTTGGTCAGCATCTTGATAGTGATGAGTTGTAAACTGTGAGCAATTTTTATACGACCGCAAAAAATTTGCGTTCATATAATGCCATCATGTCGTCGTCGTCCGAAGACACATTTGGTTTCCGGACAATAATGTAAGTGAATGGATCTCTATGAAATTTTACCAGAAGGTTCAATACCACAAAAACAAGCATTTTTGTAGTTTCCGGACAATAACTTATGTGTAAGTGTATGGATCTCTCTGAAATTGTACCACAAGGTTCCATATCACAAAGGGAAGGCTGGGATTGAGTTTGGGGGTAATTGCCCCAAACATTCAGGAATTAGGGGCAAAAAAGGGGCCAAAAATAAGCATTTTTCTAGTTTCCAGACAATAACCATGATAACTTGTGTTTAAGTGTATGGATCTCTCTGAAATTGTACTACAATGTTCCATACCACAAAGGGAAGGCTGGGATTGAGTTTGGGGGTAATTGCCCCAAACGATTAGAAATTAGGGGGAAAAAAAGGGGCCAAGAACAAGCATTTTTCTAGTTTCCAGACAATAACCATGATAACTTGTGTTTAAGTGTATGGATCTCTCTGAAATTGTACTACAATGTTCCATACCACAAAGGGAAGGCTGGGATAGAGTTTGGGGGTAATTGCTCCAAATTTTTAGAAATTAGGGGCAAAAAAGGGGCCAATAACAAGCATTTTTCTAGTTTCCAGGCAATAACTTGTGTTCAAGTTTATGGAATTCTCTGAAATTGTACATTTTTCATTCAAAATTTTTAAAAAAATTGGGGGGGGGGATTTTTTTAGGGGTTCATATTTTTTTTCTTCAAAATTTTTGAAATTTCAAATTTTTTGAAAAATTTTTTTTTGGGGGGAGGGGATTTAAAAAAAAAATTTTGGTGGGGGGGACAAATTTTTTGGGGGGATTTTTTTTTCCAAAAGTTTTTTTCATTTTTTCATTGATTATTTCTGAATCAGCAACTAATACTGATATGGCAGGAGATACCCACCAAACAGGGTGTGTAAATTATTATATATAACAGATTAACTAAGTATTGTGCAACAGCACAGTATTGCCCAATAGCAAGAAATCTTCAATTGAAAATAAATACAAATCTTTTTAACAAATTTCAATGGGATTAAATTAAGTCTTTAATTTTTGGGTTTTCTAACCTTGTATTACTATATGGATATTGGGCCCCATTTTTAAATTGGTCTACATTAAGGTCCAAAATAAAACTTTGATTTCATCAAAAACTTAATTATTGCCTCTCTGTGATATGCTGAATCTTATTGTGCATTTAGATTTTTTTATTTGGGGCCCTGTTTTTTTTTAAATTAGTCTATATTAAGGTTTGAAGGGTCCAAATTTAAACTTTGTTTGATTTCAACTAAAATTAAATTTTTTGTATTTTTTTTATATGCTGAATCTAACCATGTTGTTAGATTTTGGATATCAGACCAAACTAGGTAAACTAAATGTCCCATTTAAAATTTTTAAGATCTTTGACCACATTTATTTTGTGTCAGAAACCTATATTATGTCAAAAATTTGATCACAATTTAAATTCAGACAGTATCAAGCTTAAATATTGTGTCCAAACTTACCCCAACTGTTCAGGGTTCGACCTCTGCGGTAGTATCAGGCTGCGCTTGGCGAAGCATTTTATTTTATACTGCAACTAGTTATGTTTATTTACTAAATATAGTATACACAGCTATATTATATGCATTGTCAATTTCATCATGAATGATTTTTTCCACAATCAGGGGTTCATAAAGGGATGAAAATAAGTTTGAAATTTGTGTCACAATTTAAATAGCTATCGATGTATTGATTTAAGTTGCAGTATAAAAACAATATTAGGTCAATGTCAGAAAGATATAAAACTTTTTTTGTATGAGGCTGAGAAACTCGGGAAGTGTGAGGTTTACATCTTTTTGGTATCTTTTGGTTGCTGTCTTATTGACTGTTATCCCCTATCTCTTTTTATACGACCGCAAAAAAATTTTGTGGTCGTATATTGGTATGACATTGGCGTCGTCGTCATCCTCGTCCAAAGACACATTGGTTTTCGCACTCTAACTTTAGTTTAAGTGAATGAATCTCTATGAAATTTTACCATAAGGTTCAATACCACAAATGGAAAACTGGGATTGATTTTTGGGGTTATGGTACCAACAGTTTAGGAATTAGGGGCCAAAAAAGGGCCAAAAATAAGCATTTTTGTAACTTCCAGACATAACTTGTGTGTTAGTATATGGATCTCTCTGACCTTGTACCACAAGGTTCCATATCACAAAGGGAATGATGGGATTGATTTTGGGGGTAATTGCCTCAAAATTTTAGGAATTAGGGTCCAAAAAAGGGGCAAAAAACAAGCATTTTTCTAGTTTCCAGACAATAACTTGTGTTCAAGATGGATCTCTCTGAAATTGTACTGCAAGGTACCATACCACAAAGGAAAGGCTGGGATTGATTTTGGGGGTAATTGCCTCAAAATTTTAGGAATTAGGTGCCAAAAAGGGGCAAAAAACAAGCTTTTTTCTAGTTTCAGGACAATAACTTGTACGAAGTTATGGATCTTTATGAAATTGTACTACAAGGTTCCATATCACAAAGGGAAAGCTGGGATTGAGTTTGGGGGTAATTGCCCTAAACGTTTAGGAATTAGGGGCCAAAAAGGGGCAAAAAACAAGCATTTTTCTAGTTTCAGGACAATAACTTGTGTGTTAGGGTATGGATCTCTCTGAAATTTTTGTGCAAGGTACCATACCACAAAGGGAAGGCTGGGATTGAGTTTGGGGGTGATGAATCATAAGGGGGTTCAAAAAATTTGGGGGAGGGATTTTTTTTTTTTTTTTAATTTTCCATTTTGAATTGGTTATTTCTGATTTATATATAAAAGCAAATAATAATGATATGGTTTGAATAGGTAAATTAAAAATTTTTAAGTTCTTAGACCACATTCATTCTGTGTCGGAAACCTATGTTGTGTCAAATATTTAATCACAATCCAAATTCAGTGCTGTATCAAGCTTGAATGTTGTGTCCATACTTGTCCCAACTGTTCAGGGTTCGACCTTTGCAGTCGTATCAAGCTGCGCCCGGCTGAGCATTTTATTTTAAAATTGCAACATGACTGTCATGTACATGTACCTTTCATGATAAATAATCTGTTGAATAGGGATAAAGCATTTCAAGTAAAGTGATTTTTGTTGATCATATTTATGGTGGGAAAGACTTTTTAATTGTTTTATCTTTTCTTAAATATGTGGTCTCAATTATATATTAAACCCATTTAAACATGTTAAAAGAAGCTTGCATAATTATCCCCTGTTCTATTTTTTTCCTTCTATAAAATTGACAGTTAAGACTACTATCATGACTATAGGTAGTATTAAAAAACAGAAAAAGTATATAAAATCATAAAGTCTTTACCAGTAGTTATAGTGATATAACTATTCAAAAAGAAAAAAAATATATAAAATCATAAAGTCTTTACAGGTAATTATTTAGATATGTAAAATTGTATTATTTTATCAGGATATGGCAATTTATGATTTAGAAATTGGCTTCGGATTTCACACAGAGTAATCAACCTGGATGTTTTCATAGTTTTTTCTTTCCCATCAAGCTTTAGAAGCCTTTAATAACATCCCACCTCTAATGTCACCTTCTCTAAGTATGCTTAGAATCTGAGTATTTTGATTAATTCTATCATGTCTATATTGGTAGCAAATACCATGAATAAAGCAGCCAAGGATTTTTTTTTTAAATTCCGCCAGTCTCTGCAATATATATCTGACTCCTGTTTAGTCAAAAGTACTGCAGAAGGCATCAACCTTTTATTCTCAGAATATCAAGAGTCTAAAGAGGTACTTCTTAACAATACACCTTATCGCTATTTGTCCGCCATTACTGGACATCACACAAGTTCCCGTAAAATTTTGACGTCATAATAGAAAATATCTGACGCCTCAATGGAAAAGTGATTGTTGTATGACTTCAAAAGTTCGAGCGGGACAGATTCTCGGGTCAAGCGTGAATAGCGATAAGGTGTATGAAAGTAACTCTGTGATCATTTATTAATAGTAAACTAATGACACATTATGGTTTAAGGTTGACAATGCAATCTCAGATATCCAATATGAAGAACAGTTGACATTTACAATTCAAAAATAAGGAGATGTTGTATGGTTGGAAATTAGAAAACTGTCCACAAAAGTTTTCTTTTACATGCATTTAATAAGTAACAGTTGATAATGCCTCCTTTATATAGAAAAATTCTAATGAAATAAAGTGTTAAAATGTCTATCTATCCATTTGAACATTTGCAAACAAGAGCTTCAAGTAAATGCCGAGAATATATATTCATATTCACGAAGAAATGAAAAGTTTAATATAATAATTTGAATGTATGAATATTCAAATTATATTAATGGATGCACTGCACTGATAATTTTCCGATTTTTTTTTTAGTTCTGGTGGTTCAAAACAAAGGTTTTATCAAGTTGGTGACATAATGGTGACATCTGTTCCTGATATTCGTTACAGTTTAATTGATTTAAGAGATCTTCCCTTTCAAACAGTAGCTGTTGCTTCTGTTGTTAAGGTAAGTCCTGTGAATAGAGTGAATTTATGGATAAAACCTGAAGATATTTTTAGCAATAGACAGTATAAATAATGAACCTGTAAATGAATCATTGACCTGTGACAATGACAGCATGTCATATACCATTATCAAGTGGAAACCAAGTGGTCTACAGATGTCAGACTCAATGATAGCAAGTCATATATCATTATCAAGTGGAAACCAAGTGGTCTACAGATGTCAGACTCAATGACAGCTTGTCATATACCATTATCAAGTGGAAACCAAGTGGTCTACAGATATCAGACTCAATGACAGCATGTCATATATCATTATCAAGTGGAAACCAAGTGGTCTACAGATGTCAGACTCAATGACAGCTTGTCATATACCATTATCAAGTGGAAACCAAGTGGTCTACAGATGTCAGACTCAATGACAGCTTGTCATATACCATTATCAAGTGGAAACCAAGTGGTCTACAGATATCAGACTCAATGACAGCATGTCATATACCATTATCAAGTGGAAACCAAGTGGTCTACAGATGTCAGACTCAATGATAGCAAGTCATATATCATTATCAAGTGGAAACCAAGTGGTCTACAGATGTCAGACTCAATGACAGCATGTCATATACCATTATCAAGTGGAAACCAAGTGGTCTACAGATGTCAGACTCAATGACAGCTTTTCATATACCATTAGGCCATGCCAAATAAATTTTTTGGTTCTCAGACAATATAAACTTGAGTCTTTTGAAAAATGGATGAAGGAGGCAGTATATTTAATTTTTGTATTTATTATATTGACCAGTATTTTATAAACACAGTCTGATTAAAACCAGCCCCCACTATCCACTTGGGGCTGATTTTAATCAGACTGTTATAAACACTGTATTTATTCATTTTAAAGAATAAAATACGAAGGGGTGATCAATATAAAAATCATAAAATTTAGTCTGCAAAATGATATTTCACAGAAAACTAATTTCTCAGGAACAACACAATTTCAGTGCATGGCTGAGGATGTATGTGTTGCCTTTTTAGAAATATACAACTTGTAACAATCTAATTGGTACTTTCTATGTTGTTTTTATTTCACAAGTTTCACCAATGAGGTATGTGACATGTAACTTAACACATGTGATTTGCTGAATGTCAAAATAAAAATAAGTGAAGATGAAATCCAGCATCTTAATCAAATCATAACCTTCTTTGGTATGCTCAAGACCAAAAGTTTTGAAACAACATAAACTATCCAAACAGAACAGCCATAACTGTAAATAAGTATGAATAGAAAGAGACATTGGGTACACATCAATTGATTAGACCCCAACACATATAGTCAATAAAAACAAAACGACATCCAGAGAACTGCATAAACAAAAAGACATCCAGAGAACTGTACATGTATAGACAATGAGAAACCAACCTAACAACACACATTGACAACAAAAACAAAAAGACATCCACAGAACTGCATAGACAATGAGAAACCAACCTAACAACACACATTGACAACAAAAACAAAAAGACATCCACAGAACTGCATAGACAATGAGAAACCAACCTAACAACACACATTGACAACAAAAACAAAAAGACATCAAGAGAACTTCATAGACAATGAGAAACCAACCTAACAACACACATTTACAACAAAAACAAAAAGACATTTAGAGAGCTACAAAGATATGTGATATAAATTAAACCATGTTTGAATTGCCTGGAGTCTAGAAAAGTTGTGAAAATTAAACAGAGACTACCAAAGATCTGCAATCAACACCTATTGATTTGATAGATAACCAAAAACATTGAAATGAGACTATAAATATAACTACAATGTAAGTCTATGATGTCAGATAATCAACATTTCGGTTAAGAACTGCAACCATAGCTTTGGCTCAATAACATAATCTTAATTTGATAGTCTTTCTTTAAATCAAATTCGAACAATGCATCTTTTTGTGTGTTTAATATTCTTTTGAAAAGATAAACAAATAAAACAAGTGCATCTACATGTACTTTTTTTTGCAGTGTATTTATTTTATTTATTTTCACAAATTTCGAGGTAGGTATATCAGAGGCGGATTTAGGGGGGTGGGGGGACTTTTACAAGTTCCACTACAAATTTTGTCTTAGTTTTTGGCCCCCCTTTCAAAATCCTGGATCTGCATCTGTATATTTTCATGAAAATAAATACACACGAATACAAATGCAGCTTACATGCATAATAAATACGATTTCATAAATATCAACGAATTTACAACTGCACATGCATGATTACTTTCTTTACCTTACATAACCTCTAACTAACTGTGAAAATGTTAAACTGACACCAGTGATCCATACAGAAATTCAATTAAGGATAAATGGTAATAGATTATACCCTAATCCAAATACAACAGCTGTGTAACACACTCAATCGAATAATAACCTAATGAACAGACAACTAATTTGTGATTGAATAATCTTTGTTTATTTTGTTTCATATAATTGTTAAACAAATAAATAGATATAAGAAGATGTGATATGAGTGCCAATGAGACAACTCTCCATCCATGTCACAATTTGTAAAAGTAAACCATTATAGGTAAAAGTACGGACTTCAACACGGAGCCTAGGCTCACACCAAACAGGAAGCTATAAAGGGCCCCAAAAATGACTAGTGTAAAACCATTCAAACAGGAAAACCAACGGTCTAATCTATATAAAAAACGAGAAACGAGAAACACTTATGAACCACAAAGACTGAATTAATGAACATTTTATTATATATAGTCAGTTATTAACGTTTTGATATTTTCTTAAATCTAAATTAAGTACATGTGAATTCATAGGCAATACCAAATTCGTGAAAATAAGCACTTGTAAAAAAAGTACATATACAGTAATGCCTATTTGGACAACCTGTTCCATCACAGTGTCAAAACATGTAAATATCAATAGGGTTATATCCACCAAAAAGTTCATACATAGTTTTTGCTTTATATAATCAAAGGTTGTGTAAAAGTGTAATGTTTTCAGTCATACCAACAAAGCTCAAATACTTTGTTCTGTACATTTTTTCTCAAAGCAGATCTGGAAGTTCGCTCAAGCAATTCCTGTGAGCAATTCCATTGAAATGATCTTTTACAGGACATTTGTAGAGGTTTTGGTGTGTGTATGCCAATCTCTCTCCATTGGGCAGGATAAAACAACAGACTCCAACTTTACTGTAGTGAGGGTAAAGCCAACAACAAAAAAATTCACCTTTTAAATATTAAGGATGTATTCTTCTGAGGTTTCAGTCTCTTTGAAATGTCGTTCGGGAATTATTTCCAAAGCATGTGATACAAGTGGAAAATATCAATGAATATAAAAAATATTATAATCCAACTAAACTCTATGAAAAAATTGTGTAATTATAATAAGTAGTTTTTGAGTAATAAAATTTTCAAATTTTATGACCAATCTGGTAAGTGTCATCAGCCAAAATGTTGAGAAAATAGGTGAGGGTGCAAAGAAATGATTTTACCAAAGATATGTACATCCTATGTAATTTTTTTCTTTTCTTCGAAATTCTTAGATATGTATTTTTTCAACCATTTATAACAAAGAAGTTAAAATAATATGCTTTTTGTTCTAAAACAAATGAGAAAAATCCCAAATTAACAAAATTGACAGAATGGTCAATTAGACACAAAAAAGCAACAAAATTTTATAAAACTTTCTTATATTAACACCTACCTATAGTTATTTGTCTCGCCTTGACGGAGTAAAAACGCTAGACATAGGTATGCTGTTTCCGGCGGCGGCGGCGTCAACAATTTATTAGTTTGTGATTGGGTCTAGTTCATGGTGAACCACTAGTGGTAGGTCAGTGATATTTGGTCTGCATTTCCATGGAGATTATTTGGCCCCGCCCCCTCATTCATGGTTTTTTGACTTTGAAACTCTTGCTTAGTTTTCATGTATTAGTTTGTGATTAGGTCAGTTTAAGGGGAACTGTTAGTGGTAGGTCAATGATAATTGGTATGCAGTTGTATAAGCATTAGCACATCTCATTTCCATGGAGAATATTTGGTCCTCACCCCTCAGTCATGGTCTATTGACTTTGAAACTTTTACTTAGTTTACATGTATTAGTTTGTGATTAGGTCAGTTTAAGATGAACCACTAATGTCAAATCAATGATATTTGGTATGCAAATGTATTGGCATTTGCAAGTTTCATTTCCATGGAGATTATATAACCCCACCCCCTAATTATGGTTCATTGACTTTGAAACTTTTACATAGTTTACAAGTTAATGTTTGTGTTTAGGTTTGTTTAAAGGGAACGACTTATGAAAAGTCAATGGTATTTGGTTTGCAGTTGTATTAGCATTGGCACATCTCATTTCCTTGGAGATTGTTTAGCCTTGTACCTTCAGTCATGGTTCATTGACTTTGAATATTTGCATAACTTACATGTTAAAAGTATTGCTATTTTAATTTCAACATTTGCATTATCAAAATAACAAATAGGCGAGACATATCTCTGTGTTAACAGTTTATTCAAGTTAAATTTATTCAGTTTGGTCCCATTCATCTTTAGTGAAAGTATGAAAAAAAGTTTAATTGTGAAATTGTGATTTTTTTCATGATAATAGCTCAAAAATGGGTAAAAATTGATGAAAAATGGCCGTAGCAAAACAAGAAGTGCACCATTATATGATTTTTTCTTCATCAGTTACTTTTTTACAGTCATACAAACCCAAAAATCAGGTTAAGAAAAAAAGTTTAATTCTAGAAATTTTTGGCTCCTCAGAGGTGTACATCTTTAAGAACATTTTGTAATTAGAAATGTAAATGTTTTGCAATCATTATCTTTTGATAAGAATTTAATTATTTAATTTCTCTTAGTTTTTCCTTTGATAGGTGAAAAAGATGAGCAACTGTGTAAATCATCCAGAATCAATATCTCATGGAACTTTAAACTGTGTTAATGATCAATCTACAACATCAGATCATACAGAGCCATCATTCATCCCTAAAGAAAGTGATACAGCTTCAACATCATTAGTGTTAAGAAGTTGTCAGTTCTCAACAACTACAACAGTTTCCTCAACTGTTAGCTCCACAGAAAGTGTAGTACTTGGTTCCTCCTCTTCCAGAATGAGTGATTTCAATATAAATACACTTGATCCAACAATACTAGGAGAGCATGGTGGAGGACTTTTGGCAGAATATGAAATTGTTGCTACCCGTCCATATGTTATTGGAATGATTGTGCATGGATCAAAGGTATTATTGGACTTTAGTCTTATGCAGTTTAGTACAAATGATCTATTTATTACTCATGTTAAATGTATAATCACAAATCTTCTTGCATATAAATGTGAAATGTTTCTAAATATTATTTTTGCAGGTTTTTATACGACTGCAAATCATATATTGGTATGACGTTGTCGTCGTCATTGTCGTTGAAGACACATTGGTTTTCGCACAATAACTTTAGTTTAAGTGAATGGATCTCTATGAAATTTTACCATAAGGTTCAATACCACAAAAGGAAGGTTGGGATTGATTTTGGGGGTTATGGTCCCAACAGTTAAGGAATTAGGGGCCAAAATTAGCATTTTTCTAGTTTCCAGACAATAACTGGTGGAACGGTGTATGGATCCCTCTGAAATTATACCACAAGTTTCCATACCAGAAAGGGATGGTTAGTATTTGCTTTGGGGGGTAATGGCTCAAACCGTTTAGGAATTAGGGGCAAAAAAGGGGGAAAAACAAGGGTGTCCTGGTTAGCGGACAAATACTTTAGTACAAAACATAATTTAAAGCAGTGTAAGGGAGGTAATTCAAATACATCATTTGAATTACCTCCCTTACACTGCTTTTAAATTATGTATAAAGTAATGGTTAATGAACAATAACGACAATTTAAAAACAGTGTAATGGAGGTAATCCAAATACAACGTTTTGATTACCTCCATTACACTGCTTTTAAATTCTGTATAAAGAAATGCATATTTATAAAGGAAGACCATTAAAAATATCTGCAAATGTTGCATCTTTTTTTTTTTTTTTTTTTTACAAAAAATCCATATGAAAGATTTGACACCATATTTTAAATTCTATAATAAAATAGATTAAGTTAGCACTATGGTAAATTTAAATGGGTTATTATGGTTGCAAACTCCATTGGAAATTTGAATTGAGATTATGACCATATATCTTTAGGGAAAGAATTTTTTTGGGAGAAAAGGGGGAGGGGGATAAAAAGAAATTGTGGGGGGGGGGGGGGGGGGGGGTTAATTTTTTTCTCATTTCAGATTTCAACAATTACAATGAAAAATTCTTCAAATTTTTTGCAAAAAAAAAGTGTGTGGGGGGTGGGGGGTGGTTAATACACAACAGCAGAGTGTTTTGCACAAAAGCAAAAAATTGAATATAGATTCAAATCATATAACCAATTCTAAGTTCTTTGACTACAGTTATTCTGTGTCAGAAACCTTTTATGTGTCAAGTATTTAATTACAATCCAAATTCAGACCTGTATCAAGCGCGAATATTGCGTCCTTTTTTTCCCAAAATGTTCAGGGTTGGACCTCCGCGGTCGTATCCAGCTGCGCTCGTCGAAGCAATTTATTTTTTTCGTTATATTTTTTTAGTGTTCCATTTTGAAATTTTTAAAAAGATTTGAGTAATTTGTTACTTTTAAAGTCTTTGTATGCATTTCTTTAAAAATATGGAATTTATATTTTTATATGACCGCAAAAATTTTTTTTGGTTCGTATAATGCTATGATGTTGTCGTCAGCGTTGTCGTCCGAAGACACATTTGGTTTCCAGACAATAACTTTAGTTAAAGTGCATGGGTCTCTATGAAATTTTACAAGAAGGTTCAATACCACAAAAGGAAGGTTGGGATTGATTTGGGGGTTGTGGTACCAACAGTTTAGGAATTAGGGTAAAAAAGGGACCAAAAACAAGCATTTTTTGTAGTTTCCAGACAATAACTTAGGTGTAAGTGTATGGATCTCTCTGAAATTGTACCACAAGGTTCCATATCACAAAGGGAAGGCTTGGATTGAGTATGGGAGTAATTGCCCCAAACATGCAGGAATTAGGGGCCAAAAAGGGGCCAAAAAGAAGCATTTTTCAAGTTTCCAGACAATAACTTGTGTCTCTCTAAAATTGTACTACAAGGTTCCATATCACAAAGGGAAGGCTGAGATTGAGTTTGGGGGTAATTACTTCAAAGGGGGGGGGGGGGGGGGTAGGTTCCAATTTTTATAGGGAGTTCATATTTTTTTCTTCAAAATTTTGAAATTTCAAATTTTTTGAAAAGTTTCAAGAAGAAATCTTCAATTGCACAGTATTGCGCAATAGATTTTTAAGATCTTTGACACATTTATTTTGTGTCAGAAACCTATATTATGTCAAAAATTTGATCACAATCCAAACAAATCAGACAGTATCAAGCTTGAATATTGTGTCCAAACTTGCTCCAACTTCAGGGTTTGACCTCTGCGGTCATATCAGGCTGCGCTCAGTGAAGCATTTTATTGAGATCTTGTAATAATGGTTGACATGATGGATGTGTACAGACAGATAAAAAAATAAACCAAAAGTGTAGAAATGTAGAGCCAACAGCAGTACACAACATAGAAAACAAAGGACTTAGGAACACGAACCCCACCTAAAACTGGGGGTGATATCAGGTGCTCCACATGATCCTGCTTGAAAATGCTTAAAACCAAACTTTTTAAAAAAAAGTGTGAGCTTTGTAAGACACATACTTCCTGCTACTTAACACTTAAGCTTATAGCAGATGTATATTCAGTGAAATGATAATGAACAAGCTCCACTTTGAAACTACATAACACTGTTGGAGACCAAAACGTTATCTGATATTACAACAATGGTTTATTATTTACTTTTTATTTCAGATAATTGTTACTTGTTTGAAGCTACATGAAGATGACTATAATGAAATAAAACAAAACGGTAAACTGCCTGATGATAATTCAGTGAACATAACTTATTCAAGACCATTTGACATATTCTATCCAGAAGACAGAAAGATGTTGTACAGAATATTTTTCAGACTTTCAGACAAATGTTGTGCTAACTCATCTTCCAGCTGAAAGCACTTGATCAATTAAAACAAAAAGTGATTCACTGTGCATAAAGCCAAAGCTAAGTTGATCAGTTCATCTCAACAAAGTTAAAGGACAAAATGGTTACCATCGGCAAATATTGGTGTCCTAGTGCTTATGTCGAAGGATATATCTGGGGTCTCATCTCAATAACTATATAAAACATGTATAAATCATGTAAACATGTGTTGCTTGGACATTAGATTTGTGTAGAGATGCACTTAAAAGAGTAAGTAACTTGACAGAAGACAACAGTAGTTCACTGTTGCTCATTCGATAGTTCATGGACTCAAATAGTACTTCCAAAATCACTTCTCAGTAACTATTTGCTGTAACAACTTACATGAAGCGAAATTGATTTGTCTTTGTAATTTTTTCTTAATAAAATTTTATATTTAAAGGAATATTACAATGCATTTGATATCAGATGGTGTTAAAACTTTATTCCAGATTTCAGAGTGAAGACATTGTGCATTATCAGTTAAAAAGGCATTGGAAGTACTCAAATGATAAATTGAACCAATAATAATTCTTAAAATCCAACTTATTTTCATATGTTTCTCAGGCAAGAAAAAGACACAAAAATTATTATCAGAAATGACAAATGTAAAACAATTCAAATGAGAAAACTAACGGCCTGACTTATGTACAAAACCAAAGAAAAACAAATATGATATACAGCAACAAAGGACAACCACTGATTAACAGGCTCCTAACTTCGGACAGACACTTACAGAATGTGGCAGGGTTAAATATGTTTGCTAGCACCAAACCCTCCCCTAACCTGGGATAGTGATGTAACAGTACAACATAAAAACAAACTATAAACACGGTAGGTATAGTGTTCGGCTAGGATCGTAGTTTTTCGAGTGATTTGATCGGGTTTTTTCGAGTGTGACCACTTTTTTCGAGTGAATATGATAAAAAATGTAAACAAACAGACTTCCTTTCTAACAAGACGTGATATAGAAGCTTGAGCTTAATATACAAGGTTATACAAGGTGTGTTAGTATTTGAGATAAAAAGATATTATCAATCCGACAATATTTTTCGTTAAAAAAGTTAAATTTAGCCTTACAATGCTTTTATTCCAAAATACAGAATAAAGCCATTTTTATACACATACCAATGCAAATGTCGACGGAAATGCATACATGGAATCTATATATCCATAGATATACAGACACTTTACAAAAATTCTTGCTATTGCATTGAAAACGACATTTTGAGACTAAATTTATTTCTATATGTCCAGGTTTTTTGGTGCAGGCCTCTTTTAGTAGAATATTTTTATACGACCGAAAAAAATTTTTGCGGTCGTACATTGGTATGACGTTGGCTTAGTCGTCGTTCTCGTCTGCCGTCGTCTGAAGACACATTGGTTTTCGCACTTTAACTTTGTCTGAATCGATGGGTCACTGTGAAAACTGTCTAAATATGAGAAAATAAAGGGTGGCAGGTAGGTGAAACTTACATAAATGAAGAGATAAATGAAAAATGAACAAATTGATACCCGATTTATATAATTCCAAGGCCGTCCGTTGGCACCAGAAGCGACGAAGCAGCGCATCTATTTTGGACGGGCAAATATCCACTTTTTGATATGGGACGAGCTCTGACGTCCCACGGCCCCAGCTTATCTGGCAAAACAGCCGTTGGACGTCAGAGTAATCTCGGACTAATGTTTTATCACTCGAAAAAACCCGATCTACACTCGGAAAACCACGATCCTAGCCGGACACTATACCTACCGTGATAAAAATCAGTTAAAAAGGGCTTAATCATCAGATATTTTAAAGCACAAAAAACCTGCAACAAAGACAAAAGATATGGATCTTAACTTTATTAATGAAAGGAAAATTGAAATTAAAACATAGACATCATTTTGTAAACAAATGGAACAGACAACATACCTATTCTAGTAAGTCATGCCCAGGGGTGTGTGTACACAATTAGTTATTTATTGATTGTCATCATTCCACTACTCAATCCAACTACCATGAGAAAGACCACAAACTAAAACTAATCTGGAACCTTATTTAGATAAGAATTTAGGACGGAAAAGCTCATAAAAATTAACTGATTAAGATTGTCCCAGTTGACCTGTCTCAATTGTAGGACTGCACATTATATCACTACAAGGCTAGGGTATTTGTTGTCCCCCGCACAATGCATTGTGGGGGACATAGAAAAACCAGGCATACGTCCTTCCTGTCTTTTCAGCTCTCTCATCTGTACAGTTCTTGCCAGATTTGTATGAAACCTATATCATAGGTTTATATCAGCAATGTCTTGGACAAGTTCGAAAATCATTTTAAAAGAGTAATGCCCCTTGGAAATATTAATTATACTGAAAATTGCACTGTTAGCGCTTTCATTTGGTCAATTCTTGTCAGATTTTTATGTAACTTATATCGTAGGTTTATATTAGCAATATCTGGGACACGTTAGAAAATCAGTGCCAATCAATCATTTTTGAAAGAGTTATCCCCCTTGGAAACATTACTTTTATGGAAAATTGCACCGTTAGTGCTTTCATTTGTACAATTCTTGGCAGAATTTTATGAAACTTATATAATAGGTTTATATTAACAATGTCTTGGACGAGTTTGAAAATCAGCGCTGATCAATTATTTTTAAAAGAGTTATGCTTCTTGGAAACATTAATCATATGGAAAATTGCATCGTTAGCACTCTAATGGTTAAAATTCTTGCCATATTTTATGAAACTTATATCAGGTTTATATCAGCAATGTCTTTGATAAGTTCGAAAATCAGTGCCCATCAATTATTTTAAAAAGTGTTTTGCCCCTTGGAAATATAATATATAAATTATATGGAAAATTGCTTTATGAGCGCTCTAATGTGTACAATTCTTGCCAGATTTTTTTGAAATTTATATTATAGTTTTATATCATCAATGTTTTTGACGAGTTTGAAAATCAGTGCTGATCAATTATTATACGACCGCAAATTTTTTTTTGGGATCGTATAATGGTATGATGTCGTCGTCGTCTGCGTCTGCGTCTGCGTCGTCGTCCGAAGACACATTGGTTTCCGGACAATAACTTTAGTTTAAGTGAATGGATCTCTATGAAATTTTTTAAGAAGGTTCAATACCATAAAAGGAAGTTTGGGGATGATAGTCCCAACCGTTTAGGAATTAGGGGCCCCAAAATGGTTCCAAAACAAGCATTTTTTTAGTTTCAGGATAATAACTTGTGTATAAGTATTTCGATTGCTCTGAAATTGTACCACAATGTTTAATACCACAAGTAGAAGGTTGGGATTCATTTTAGGGGTTATGGGGGCCAACAGTTTAGGAATTAAGGGACAAAAAGGGGCCAAAAAACAAGCATTTTTCTAGTTTCCAGACAATAACTTATATGTAAGTGTATGGTTCTCTCTGAAATTGTACTACAAGGTTCCATACTACAAAGGAAAGGCTGGGATTGAGTTTTGGGATTATTGCTTCAAGGGGGGTTTCAAAGAGTTGGGGGGGGGGGGGGGTATTTTTTCCCAATTTTTTTAAGGGATTCATATTTTTTTTCTATTTTTTTTTCAAATTTCGAATTTTTGAAAAGTTTCAAGAAGAAATCTTCAATTGCACAGTATTGCGCAATGGTTTTATAAGATCTTTGACCACATTTATTTTGTGTCAGAAACCTATATTATGTCAAACATTTGATCACCATCCAAATTCAGACAGTCTCAAGCTTGAATATTCAGGGTTCGACCTCTGCGGTCGTATCAGGCTGCGCTCAGCGAAGTATTTTAGTTTTAAAAGAGTTATGCCCCTTGGAAATATTGATTATATGGAAAATTGCATTGTTGGCGCTCTCATATATTCAATTCTTGCAAGATTTTTATGAAACTTGTATCAGAGTTTCATACTGGCTATGTCTTGGACGAGTTCGAAAATCAGTGCTCATCAATTATTTTTTAAACATTTGTGCCCCTTAGAAATATTGGAAAATTGCATTGCTAGACTGCTCTCATGAGTACAATTCTTGCCAGATTTGAATGAAATTATATTATAGGTTTATATCATCAGTGTCTCAGACAAATTCTAAAATCAGTGCCAATCAATTATTTTTAAAAGAGTTATGCTCCTTGGAAATACATGTACATGTATTGATCATATGGAAAATTGCATTGTTAGGCTCTCATGTGTACAATTCTTGTCAGATTTTTATGAGAGTTATATCATAGGTTTATATCAGCAATGTCTTTGACGACTTCGAAAATTAGTGCTGATCAATTATTTTTAAAAGAGTTATGCCCCTTAGAAATATTAACTGTATGGAAAGTTGCATTATGAGCGTTCTAATGTGTTCAATTCTTGCCAGATTATTATGAAATTTATATTATTTATATTATCAATGATTTTGACGAGTTCGAAAATTAGTGCCGATCAATTATTATAAAAAGTTATGCCCTTGGAAATATTGGAAAATTGTATTGCTAGACTGCTCTCATGTGTAGAACTCTTGCCAGATTTTAATGAAATTTATATTATAGGTTTACATCATCAATGTTTCAGACAAATTAGAAAATCAATGCCGATCAATTATTTTTGAAAGAGTTATGCCCCTTGGAAATATTGATCATATGGAAAATTGCATCGTTAGCGCTCTCATGTGTACAATTAATGCCAGAATTTTACAAAACTTATATCATAGGTTTAAATCAGCAATGTCTTTGACACTTTCGATTAGTGCTGATCAATTATTTTAAACGAGTTATGCCCTTGGAAATATTAATTATAATGAAAATCGCATTGAATTTGCTCTGAAGCCTTCATTTCTATAAGATATTTGTAAATTGTTTTAAAGAACAAATGTTTTTTTAGTTATTGCCCTTGTACCTTGAATAGATAAAATATGTGCAACGCGGGGGGGGGGGGGACATTGGAACTCTGTTCTTTTATTTGAGTAGCCTTATAAATAGCTTTGTTTGCTGTTGATTGAGTCATTTACTGTTGTTTGTATAGTACATGTAGTAAAGAATTTATGTTTATATGACACAGTAAAATAATATTGCAGACAATGATTTTCAGCAATAATAACTTGTTGCTCAATGTTATAATTTTTGCCTTTTATTTTCCAGTATTCCCTTCATTTTTTGGTCTAGTTCTATTTTAGGTGCTACAATTTCATCATAGTCTATAGCTATCAGCAATAATTTTCTTGATTTCTGTCTTTGTGCTTCATTGATTATAACAAAATTCTGTGAGCTTCTTACGTACATGTACTGATCTTCCAGTATTTCCAGGATCTTCTGATTATTGGGCTTATTCATTGGATAACCATGATTTACTCCTTCACTCATCGTCTTCTGTACTATTTATGAACTGTGGATCCATGACTCAGGAATAATGATTTCTCCCTTATGTTCATGGTCAGGCTAGATATCTAGTTCTCTTTCACCATTTTCTCCCTCTCCAGCAATGACTATCCCTGCATTGACTGGTATTGTATTGACTTTCTTCAAATACAATTTTTCCCTTACAGGTGTCACCCCAACTCCATTGCCAATAACGAACTCGGCTTTAACCTCGTTATTGACCAAAGGAACAGTAATGGTAGCTACCCTAAGCCGATCAATGATAATGTTTTCCTCTATTTCACGACTCGGTTTGACACTACCACTTACTTCATATAGTGCACTCTTCTTTATTACCTCTTCCTCAAACAATAAATTTATGCTCAGGTCCTGATTAAATATATCAAATTCATCATCATCATACATGTACTTCATTGTCATTGTATCCTTAATTTCACTCGTGTTAACAGTTACTAATAATCAATTTATCAACTTTTACAGGGGGCTGTTACTTGGCCAACAGTCTCAACCCTTGATAGTTTATAGGATTCTGTTGTGTACCCTACTGAGAATCATTTTCCTTGGTAAACCATCTGTTTTATGTGCTACTTTGCATTTGTCTTGGTTTTTGACAGTCTTTTGTGTAATGACCTTCTTTATTGCAGTTAAAACATCTAGTTGTTCTTGTTTTGGTTCTGTTGTCTTTATTATACTGTTGGTCTATGACATTGTTTTACATCAGGTTTATGATATTTTGTCATCTCTTTCTGAATTATCTCCCCTACTGACTGGGTGATGGACTGCAGGGAGATGGAATCTTTCATCCCTCTTTCAAATTGGGTAAGTCTCTCCTCTAACATATTTCTTTCCACCAACTTTCCTGACCTCTATGTCTTCGGATCCTCGATCATCCCTTTAACTTTCCTCTGTTGTACCAAGCTGACGGATGTTTCTATCTCTGGTACCTCTCATATGTTTCATACAGGGTAACTTGGTGTATTGCCTCTGTTATGCTGGTAGTCCTTTTTGTCAACAAATCAATAGCAATACTCTGATCCGAAAGTCCTCTTTACATATACTCCACACTCAGTGTACTTTGGGTTGCTGTGTCAATGTTTGGGAAAGACTGCATGACTAACATCTCGACCCTTGAAGTATACTCTTGGATTGTCTCTCTATTTTTCTTTTTCAAAGTATGGAGCTCTTGTCTGTATGTTTCAGAATACCCATGATCTCCGAATCTATTTGACATGGCTGCACAAAATGCTGAAAATGATCATGTTGTCTCTGGTGTAAGGAATGAGGCATAGACCATTGCTTCATCTTTGAAGACTCTAACCAGTTCTATGGCTTTGGTTGATTGAGTCCAATTGTTCATTTCAGTAATCAGCTCAAATTGCATCACATATGCGTTCCATGGATCCTTTCCGTTATAGAATAGCACTCTTGTTTTGCGTCCATTGTCATTAAATCTTGGAACTTCTGTTGCGTATTAAAACAATGTGGACCACTGGAATGCTGGATTGGTAACAAGTTTGACTCTGTGATTGGACGATACAATGAAAAATCCCTATTTGGTACTTAATATTGTTGAAAATTACTGCTGGGGTCTTGACTCTGCATAACACTGCTATTCTGTACTGTTTTTTGCGAATAGTTACGTCGTTGCATTGTATAATGAGGATATGTGTTGCTCAAAAATTGACTCTGAGTATACACGGTATTGTTAAGAACTGGATTCTTTGAAATGTTGATGCTAACAATATCCTGGTTTACATGACTATGGGTACCAGCATATGCATTCGTCTCTATATACCCTGTTGACTGGGTAATTGTGTTGACCAGATTTTGACCAGGGTTAGTTTGACTTGCACTTGGTATAGAGAGGCTGTTTTGTTGGGCTGTTTTCTTTAACTCAAAATTTTCATTTTCTAAGGCATCTAATTGTTTTCTTATTTGTGTGAGCTCATCACTATCAGAGTTTGTTTATATTGATATTAAAGCGCTATCACTTCTACTTTCGGTTGGAACTAGGAATGGATTGGAGTTATTCTCAATTCCTTGACTTATAGCAGGTAAGTTGACAGAATGATCCATTGTAGGAAAACTTTGATCAGTCAAATGAGTTACCTCCCGTTTCCTTCATTAATTGAAGTAGGCAATATATTTGGGTACTTATTTATTGTCTCCCCTTGATTAAAATCAGGAACAAATCTTGCAGTAAAATAATCATGAGAGTTTCTAGGGTCCCCTGAAAAATGGGTCTCAATATTCCCAGATGATATAGCATGATTGGGAATGGCTAAACTACTTGGTGGGTTTATTCCAGATCCCCTTCTCCTTCCTACAATCATTGATCCCGTAGAAATACTAGGTTGTCTATTTCTCAAATTATACATCTTAATTTTGACTGATGATTAGAGTCAAGAGTTTCAATTTACTAATCAACTTGGATTAAAGTTTATCCTTATTAATCTTGTACTTTTTCAGAATTATTCAACTTCAATCAATTTTTACATCGCGATGACCATGAGGGCATTCCGATGTATTGTTGCCACAGTTAGTTTTCGTTTTTGACTGGTAACCGATCGTATAAATACGCGGATATTATCGAGTGCAAAATAACATTCCTTTTTGCTTTTTATAAATTCATTTCTTCAATGAATACTCATAAAAATATTCTTTTTAGAACATAAATTAATAATATGAAAATGTTTTGTCGTTAGAAATATATATATAAGTAAAAAATCATTAATATCTATGCACACGTACAGAAAAATTGTGTTAACGCATGCTGAAGAATATCACAAGAACGTTTTGCGGGAAAATATGAATGCCTACTCGAATCCAATCTATTAGAAAAATCGAATTATTACAGAAGAGTGTCCACCGTGCACTTGCACTGCACTATTATTAGAATAGTAGAATAGAATGATATACAAATACTAAAACTAATATAATATATAACAACAAACCAGAGTATACTGATTTGTATCACTTCAATATAATAGTTATTACGGTGAGGTTGAATTCCCTGTCATTTATTCATCATCCACGCATGAACTTGTCTCAGAAAAAAATATATCTCTGTACATTAACTCACTTTCAGGTATAGAGATGTGATTTTTTTTCTGGGACAAGTGCTTTTGACCATCCACAAGAACTTGCGGTCATCCGATGTTCAGTACTTCAGTACTTTGATTATCCTTGCTGAAATTGGTAAGAATTTCCTATGCCTTACTTTTAAATCAACTTAGATTTAAATGTACCTTGTTGAACACACTTAAAAGAGTAAACAATTTGGGTTATGAATCTATCCTTACTTTGCGAAATAGACTATATAAATTACAAATTTAAAACAGAATATAGACATTCAACTTTGACCTTATTGGAAAATTACTACAACTTAGATTTATATTAATCCTTGTTGTAAACAAATAAGCATGTGAAGCGGAATATTTATTTTACAAGTTTGAAATAGACTATAAATTTTTCAACTTTAAGCCTATTGAAAAATCACTATTTAATTTAACAATCAACTTGGATTCAAATTTATCCTTGCTGAAAATAGACTCCTAAATTTAAAACTCAACTTGAAATTATTTCTCTCCAACTTGGATTAAAATTTATCCTTGTTGAATATAAAACTACTTAAATGTATACTATAAGCTAAAGTAATCTCACCAACCGTACTTTCCTTTCCTTTCAGCGTTTGTTGAACTGTCCTTTTTTATATGTTCATTTTTTTTATATGTGTAACCAAATATTATGAAAAAATGGACAGTAATAATTTTTTTTTAAGATATGTTTTCTTCTGTAAATGCGTACCAAGAAAATTGTGTCGTAGATTCTTAAAACTTTCTTGAAAAAGAAAATTAAGTACGCTGCCACCAATGTTATAATTGTTGCTTTTATTTGGACAACAATAGTTTTTATATATATTCAATCAATGCATAAATACCTTTGCCAGTATTTTCTTACAAAATAATTACTAAACTATCTTCAGGAAATAGAAATTATATTATCATTAAATTAATACAATAAATAAAAGTACAATTAATATGTTTTTAACGGTTTTCTGTATTTGTATTTCTTTGTCAAAGTATTTACCTATATTGCGGATTACAAATGTGTTGAGTTTTGTGATTCGATAACAATACATAGATGTCAGTGTATATTCAGGAAACTACCGGGGTATATACGACATACAACAACGTCATTATAACGACCGTTACTATGTGACGTAGTCTTAAGCTATATAGAACAACGAAAGAATGTCAGAGGCTCATAGAGGGAAAATAATGACGTGTATCCGTCAATAATAACTATTTAATCTAAAATCACTCGATTTTCACATCAAATACTTAAGTAATGTCTCAAAGTGTTATTACAAATCATTGCATACACGATAAACTTATTTTCACAGCAAATAACAAAATCCTTCACGTATGCGAAAAATATCAGGTTGGTTTTTTCAATATTTTTGTTATCAAAAATAATCATAATACATAAAAAGTCACAAACAAACAAATAGTATACATGAAATCTAAAACTTTATTGACCTAACGAAAATAACAATATATGTAAAGTTGAAAAACTTCTATTTAAAAGAATTACTCAAAATATTACTTCTAAGAAACAATAAACATATACTGAATATATATAATGCATGGTGAATATTTAACAGATACCTGGTACTGGAAAAAACATTAAGGCAGGGGTAATCCGTAATATATGTGTAATTCAGGTTTCAGTCAGGGTATATAATGTGACATTCCCGGCTTAGGGTTTATATCCCCTTTACCTTCGGCTCAGGGAATATAAACTCTAAGCCGGGAATGTCACATTATATACCCTGTCTGAGACCTGAATAACATATAATATTCTCTGATGCTCATTTCAAATTCAAATCATAATCGTGTTTTCAATGGGAAATCCTATTTTTATATGCCAAATCACACAATAACGTTGCGTGCAAGAAAATAGGTCGCTAACGTTCAAGGTTATTACAATAATCATGTGTACTATTGTCAGCGAGTACATAACTATTGGATTATATAGAAAGCAAGCACGATTTCATCCATCTTGACACCGATTTAGCAATATAGAGCATGTAAACAGAAGGAACTAAAGAAATGTAGGATTAATAACAAGCTAGAAAACAAAGATGTTATTCGAATGCCACATTGCACGTGTTGGCGGAATTTCGTAACGCAAAATTGGCAACAGTCAAATTTCCAGGAACGACATTACGTTCACACAAATATATTACCGCGTTATTTAACGTTCACAACACTCAAGTATATATACAAAATGTTAGAAGATAATTAGAAACCATAAACATTAGTAAAAAAGAACTTGCATAGTAGCACCTTTTCAAGGTTTTATCTTGCCTCAATGAAGTCCCGATGGTGAGACTTAGGCGTTTTGTTTCTAGTGTTAGCGTCAACAAAGTATTAGTTTGTGATTGGGTCAGTTTAAGGGAATTACTAGTGGTAGGTCAATGATATTTGGTATGCAGTTGTATTAGCATTGACACATCTAATGAGATTATATAACCCTGTCCGCTTTGTCATGGTTCATTGAATTTGGATTTTTGCATAATTTTTTTTAATTTTGCTATTTTATCTCCCTTTGGTTATTTATATAAGCTCTTCACCCGTTTAGGTCAAATGTTTATGTTTGAGCGTTCATAATGAGCTAAAATCCAGAAAATGCCTTGGACGCACAAAATTAAATAAATCATTTTATAAAAGCTGATCATAGCTCTGAGTCGATACGACTACACTGCTAGTGGACTGTTATAAGTAGTCCCAAGGGTACTTCAGTGCTGATAAATAAAGAAATTATTAAGAAACAAATATTTAAAATCCCTCAGGATAAGTTGAAATACATGACTTTGGTTATTTTTAGGTCCTATTTGGTCATGAAGCTCTTCCACATGTTTAGGTCTTCTACATCCTTGGCTTTCAAATGTTTAGGTTTGAGCGTACCTGATGGAAGATAAACCCAGAAAAGCACTTCGGATGCACGGAACAAATAAAGTGTTATTTTCATTGATTTATTAAAGTAATAGTCATGATAGTATGTTGATGATTTAGATCAGATAAAAAGAAATCACTCATGATAGGTCAATGATATTTGGTATGTAGTATAAGCATTGCGGCACATCTTATTTTTCTTTATTCGTCTGAGCCCGGGAAAAAGGTAACTACAGATATTGAAACGTTCACTTTCTTGCTATGTATAAAAACAAGGGAAATTATTTTGCCTTGGACCTTCAATCTAGGTTGGTTGACTTTGAATGATTTGCCTAGTTTTACATTTTTAAGTTTTGCAATTTTAATTTCAACGTTTGCATTTAACTATCAAAATTACGTGCAGTCGAGACACATATCTGTATTAACAGTTTATTTTTTTGTTGTTGCTTCATTTGATAAACCTTAGAAATAAACAGTTGAAAGGTTACTTAATAGGGTTAACTTGTTTTAGAATTAGAATTTGATTTGGAAAAAAATCTTATAAATGATCCACTAAACTAAATGATGTCCTTTAACATGTCTTGTCTCCCTTTGTTTGCAAAATTGAACTTCCTTTTGGAAAACAATGAAAATGTGATTCTGGTGCATATAGTATCATTTTGAATTGGTACACGATCTTTTAGTTAACTCAAATTATATTCGAGGCATTACAAAGTTTCGTAATGCCGAGTGAATTTAAATGGTCCATAGTTTATATCAATTAGTCACGAATATACTAGGCGTGAGACTCAACTAAGGTCCACGCAAATAATTTTGTTTATTTCGCAATTATAACTCCTTTGTAGGAAAACTAAATAACTTTTAGGGAGTGTAAAAAATCAGAATGTCCTTCTGTAAACAGAATTCTGAATTAAATAAAAAATATCTAATTCATCGTCTAAAAATCTTTTTTACTCCTGCTTTACATAACTCCAGAACCACTTCTATCAGTTCAACAATACACAAAAGTGACACACCTAGACACAGTCCAACTGAGCCCCCCACGTCAGACATCAATCTTGTAGCCTAAAATGACAAATACACGATTGATAAGGCAAGAAAATTAAATCGAAATGGTAATGTTAAAAAAATATACCAACTCCTTTTATTCATATGAATCATATATTGACATGATTTATTTGTAACTTGCATGTTTGAACCATCTCTATAATTGCTTTAGTATTTTACTGTTTAGATTTAGAAGAATAGCCAGACAACCTTTTGATACTCTGAAGGGTGTGGTGAGATTGGTGCAGGATGATTATGAAAATGAATATGTATAGTTTTATCTGTATTTCCATTGTTTCGAGTTTACTGTCTATACATTTTGGACGATTCAGTCGGTCATGTACAACAATCATAATTTTCTTCATTTATATCTTTCGTTTGAAAGAAAAATTGGAAAAATTTCATCTGAAATTATTCTATACAGAGACGATATTCAAAAAGTGTTTCAATCTTTGCTAAAATATACATTATCACAGCATCTTCCCTTGTTGCATGAAACATCATTGTGTTGATTTCAAAATAATAAACGTGCAAATAGCCAAACTGAATAGAAATTGAATAGATCTGTATTTTTTTCAAATGTTTATATGAAAAATGTGATAAGGATATTCTTAACAAAAACTAAATTATACCGGAAGGAAGAATTTTCTTTCAACACACAATCTCTATCATCTTGGTTATCAATGTTCATCGATGAAATATTTTACACGAAATTTAAATTGACTCGCACGGTAAATTAAGTCATTGAAGACTTGTGACGAATAAAACGATTCCATACTTCTTTATCTAAATATACCTTGCAGTCCTCGTGCATGTGATGTTAAGTGAAGCTGAAAACCAATACTTACGTCATAAATTGGAGTTTCTTCAATAAGCTGTTGGTTTAAGTCCTCAAAATACAACATCACCTTGAGAAAGTTGGTTCTAAAACATACAACTTTAGTTCAAACAGATGTACATAAGAAATGCAACGATTAAGAAGACCTGTCAACCAATTTTGAAAAACTTTTCCGTAAACGGATCTAATTGAAAATATTCAAAATAACGAGGAACCAACACTTATACATATAGTTGAAATAATTCTCTATCCAGATTAAGGAACTCGTTGAATAGAAACAGTCGCGATAAGTGATTACTGACAACCAAGATATATCTTTGAATCAGTGGATATTCTAATGTAAAAAATTAACTATTTTTAATAAAATGAAAACAGAGATGGAGAACCACAATTGCTTGGAGTTTTGTCAATAGTTTGTAGGCAATGTGTATGAAAAAAGTCAGAAATACATCAATGAACTTCAAGCAAAGTCTCAAACGACACAAACAAAAAACCAAAGCAAAAGCAACCTAAAGGTCAATATACGGTATTGAACATTAAGACGATGTCTGTACAATATTTTAATCTCTGATTGCACCGAGTCTAAATACTTGTAAATTATTTAACAGAAACTATTTAAGATCTGCCATCAAAACAAACAACATGTCATGCGTGTAAATCACATTACATAAACTGCTTGGTAAATGAATTAGGTATTGACAATTCACTTAGAAACTCTACAAATACACCAACGACACTTACCAAATGGAAAATTCTGAATAATCATAGGTCTGTTCTCTGTTCCTTTGGAATTTCAACCAAAGATGAAGAACTGGATCTTCCTTCTCTGTATTAGATACCTAAATTACATACTAGTAAGTGTCCCTACAAACAACATTATATTGCTGGGTCTTTCAAGTGCTCCACGAAACCTCTTTTTCATTATTAACATCAATTTTATCAGCAACCAAAGCCGGGCTTCAAAGTTTTTGTGAAAATACCTATTCTAGGGGTAGCATGAACCAGATGTGAATACTTAAACAATCCAAAGATCTTTAAGAGCACATAAACTCTAAGACTCTTTCGTCTTGTAATAGCATTAAAAGATTTGACTTTCTACACTTAACACAGATATTTCCAATTCCAAACTAAAAGACAAATTGAAAGAGTTGGTCCTGCTTTGTTTCATAAAAGAAAGAGCCATCGTAGAAACAAGTATCTTGTCTTATGGAGGGATAAATCGTACTTTGTGAAAAATCACTCTGATTCAAACAAAAAATTCACTGAAACTGACATCAAGATGCTTGATTTCTTAATTGACAACATATTTTATACGTTTGGAGGACGTGTTTTTCAAAAAAAAAAAAAAATCATCATTCCTATGGGAACCAAGTATGCTCCTCTTCCTGCCGACTTGTACCTATATTCATATGAGGCTGACTTTGTACAGGAGCTTCTTAGGAAGAAAGAAAAGCAGTTAGCATTATCCTTAAACTTCACTTTGCGCTTTATAGATGATGTCATCTCACTCACTAAATCATTCAAAGTTTAGTGAATATGTTGAACACATCTGTCCAATCGAACTTTAGATAAAGGATACAACTTTTACAGTTAAGTCTGCCTCATATCTTGACTTGCATCTAGAAAAAGGACAATGAGGGTTGGTTGAAAACAAAACTTTACGACAAAAGACATTATTTGAGCTTCCGAATTGTTAACTTTTCGTTTCTAACATGCAACATTCCAGCAGCGCCTGCATATGGAGTATATATCTCCCAGTTGATACGATAAGCCAGGGCTTGCATTTTCTATCGTGAGTTCCTTGACAAAGGGTTGCTGCTCACAAGGAAGTTATCAATCCAAGAGTTCGAAGTGGTGAAGTTGAAATCATCCCTTCGTAGATTTTACGGACGCCAACACGAGTTGGTTGACCGTTATCGAATATCTGTTTCACAGATGACGACGGATATGTCCCAATTGTCGTAATCAAATCCCGTTCTCTTTCATCGAACGTGACCTACCGAATAAGTATTATTACCGGATTTGTACTTACATGAGTAATATGGCGGGTGCCACATGTGGAGCAGGATCTACTTATCCTTCCGGAGCACCTGAGATCCCCCCTCCCGTTTTTGTTGGGTTCGTGTTGCCTAGTCTTTAGTTTTCTATGTTGTGTTTTATGTATACAGTTGTTTGTCTTTTGGTCTTTTTGCCATGGCGTAGTCAGTTTATTATCGACTTATGAGTTTGAATGTCCATTTGGTGGCTTTCGCCTCTCTTTTAATCATCAAAACATAACGACATAATAAAAGACAATCACTGGTGGATTTCCTGAAAAGGGACAAACATTTGAACACGTGATGGTGTTAAACTGGCTTGATAAAGATATCTACTATCTCCCTTTTTAAGCGCATATGCACGATTCAAAATGGGTGCGGCCAACGTAGGCGAAAATTTTACATTGAAATCCTATGAAATAACACAGTTTGCTGTTCTTTTTCAAGGAGAGACGAACATAAATGAAAACAAACTATGAAGCAATGTAGAAGGTATTTAGATGTACAAAGTTCCGTTGCTTTTGTACTGATGAAAAGTCCGTAGTTGATTTCAAGGGGTCAAAGGTCTTCTCAAGAACTAATGAACCGAGTGAAGCTAAACTTGCTAGATATGTTCTATATGTTATTACCTGGATCGTAAGATAAGCTTTTTTGCTAGTTGGGCATCATAAATTCATGTGAGCGATGCAGGCTCATAGGGGCCTCAAATAAATCTCGATTAGTCGAATAAGAAGAGGTACATGAAAAAAAAACCTCTTAAGACTATAAATCAGAACAGGAATTCTTCCTAATCTTCGACATAGTACATGTAGATAAAACACAACAATGCAAACACAACAATAATAAACAACAACCGTATCAAAGAATGCTCACAGTAAATGTTAGCAATCTCAAAATGTTTACCCTACTGATGTGTAATAATACCGTCTTAAATTGAGAAAGAGTTTTTAAAAGTACTCAAACATCCACACTGCGTCTTAATTTAACAGATCCCACTCATTCTTTTCAATTCAGGAATTGAAATACTAATACTAGCACGCTATTTTGACAACATACATTTACGAGCATGTTTGTTCAATGCCCGTTTTCGATTAATTGCTTCAACTTACTCAATTTGATGTTGTGTTATGTTGAAATCTGGATCCAGTAAGGGACAATAATCTTTTTCTATACAAGCTTCTGATACAAGGGTTGCCTAACAAAATCAAATTATAATATATATTTCGCCAAATGAACTATTTCATTCTTTTACTAACTGCGTCATTCAATGGTTCATTCAATGGTCAATCTATCATACATGTATATGCATTTCGTTTAAACGAAGACTGGGGTAATTATCATCAAAGTGTGTGAGAAACTCGTCCTTTTCAGAGGGAAACATGTAAAATCCTTGCATGAGCGAAATACTTCTTCAATTACAATAATTCAGAATACGAAATATGTATAACATAAATCATTAAATGTACTAGTATATTGATATCATAGTGCATCAGAGGCGATGGTTAGAGGGAAAATAAAAAAAAAGAAAATACAAGGTCGCAGCAATACATATAGAATAATGGCATTTTTATTTTTGATACTGACTTTATGAGCAAGAATATCAAACGAGCCCGCTAGGGCGAGCTGATATTAGAGCTGATGAATCAGTATCAAAAAATAAAATGCCATTATTCTTGTTATGTGTTATGTATGTCCAGACACTCCCCAACAGCGCAGTGATGGAAAAGCAAAGCAAAGCTATCATAGCTCATTGCAATAAATGGTATACACTGGAAGTAATCATTTCATTGTTGTCACAAGGGATATAACTTTGTACAGTAATTGCAACAACAATGAAAATCGACCTCGACCTACATTTCATGATAGCTTTTAATGTTCAAGAGAGCTAATTTAGGTTTTACTTCAAAGCAAACAGAAATTTTTACCTGAAACCATTAGTTTCGGCCGCAGTAACGCCAAAGCGGCGATAATTTGCTCATCAGAGTTTTTTTGTGCGAGAAACATTAATATTAGAAAATTTCAATTATATAGTAATTGTCAAACATGTTTATATGAGTCTATTTGATTAATTTAATATGATGAACGAAATATGGGCGCAAGCGTGTCTCTAATGGGTTTCCATCACGAAAAATAGCAGTTTGCTAGTTTGTGTTCACCGCAAATGGAAGGCTAAAAAGTTAAGAAACAAAGGAGACAATGAAAATTAATCAATTCGATCAAGGACAGACAGCATCAGACCAACAGATAAAAGTAAGTAAAACCTACTCAGAAAACTAAATACTGAACAACTCGAAAAACACATAAAACTTGTGAGAGCGCAGGCGCTCAAGAACGGGGTAACGTTCCGACTCCGCTGGTGGCACCCGTCGTGTTTCTCATGACAAATTCAATTCTTGTTTTGCTTATTTAAGTTTGACCAAGTTATTGTCGTCATGATTATTTACTACCTTTGGTATCTTTTTAATTCATTACGTCTTAAATCTCATTTATGTTCAATAACATGTACAAGCTCTCATCGGTTCATTTAGAATTGTGACGAGAAAATAAACCGTTTGAAACATATATAAATATCATTTTAATCCGACCAACAATTTCGCTAATATGACATAAATGTCTCGTTAATTCGACATAATTATATTGTTACTTCGACATAGTTAGAACGTTATTTCGAAATGCGATGACGTATTAACTAGGTAATCGACTTCCATGCACTGTAAACCATACCCGCGTTTCAAATTTATATATGGATAATAAATGATTGCTCATAAATCGGATTTCTTCATTCTATAGTTAATATATATATATAAGAATAAATTTCTGACAACTTCATTGCAAGAACATTATCTACATACCCTAGTCCTATCATTTGGCCATCTTCTGGAGGAAATAGATGTTGTGTAAATTTTTTCACTGAAAAATAATCATACACCTCATAATCAATGGTTTGAAAGATGTTTGTCTGATGATAACACACACACACACAGCAACACACACACACAGAGACATATATATATATATATATCTTTACAACATTTGAGTTCACAATTTGTAACTTCTGTGTTTAGTTTAAGACATGTACATATAGATTGAATAACAGTATCCCGTTCGTTACAATAATTACCAACTCGAAATAAGACCTACCTACATGAAGCTGGGCAGCCGCAATATCTGTTTGTGTCTTGGAGGATGTCATGGTTTATGTCTGTTGCACATTTGAGGGCTGTAAAATTGGAATGTGAAAATTGCACTCAATGAAATAGTGTTTAACGAAAAGCATGCAAAAAGCATGTTCCTTTACCTTTCAAATGTTAATAGCTGTATGATAAAGCTTATCATGCCACATATCTTATGAATAACACATTTAACCTGCATCGGACTTGTTATTCTGTAAATGCATATTTCAGTTTGTTAACAGTAACATCGGAAGTAAAATGTTTAAACAACACCGAGTCTATTGAATTATCATTATGCTAGAAGAACAGATGAGATGCAATTCTTAATGTGATGTCGTAAATGTAAGAAGGACCAGCAAGTCAATAATATTTGATAATTCATATACTCTGAAAAAGTTAGATGGCCAATATACATAAATCTCGGAGCCCCTGTGTGGTGTCTTATATTTCCGCGATTTTCCCCTACGTTTGCGAGAAACGCATTTTACGTTGGGATTAATTTACCCGTTACAAAAATGCTACTTTTGCCCGGATTCATAAATTTTCTAATCAACAATAATTAAAAAATTGTAAAATTATTAAATAAAAAGTATCCTTTCTGAACCAAAACAAAATTATAGTTTTCAATTTTTAAAAGATCGATAAACTGAAATGACAAGGCGAAAATCGACATCCAAAATGATTTTTCTATCTGCAAGAAAACAAAGCGAAAAAGTACTTGATATTCGATGGATATACCTTCTGAGTAGATAACTGAGTGTAGAAACATGGAGACATTTCCTACAGATGCATCTAGAAAATATCCAAATGTAGGATAAAAACGCATCGTGCATGTAAAGTTTTGCTTACGGGAACAAATGAGCTCAATCATGAAAGTAAATAAGAAAGACAACACAGAATACTGACTATACTGTAGGTACATTAAGATGCACGGTAGCGATATATCTAATGTAAAACAATAGTAAGGGAAACTAAGTTCACCGTTAAACAGTCTGTTAAAATTTCAAACTTTAAAAGATATATTTAATCGATGGGATACAAGTATCAGACGAGGACTGCATTCTATACTGTTTCTGTCCACAACAAACTACTGTGTTTATTCAAGATTAAGTTTTATAAACTTAGAATGTTCCTTTTAAGGAAATACACACTTTATTCACAACTTAGTTAACGAAACATGTTGTGCTTTTTAATATTACATCAATCAATATAGACTTCTCTAAACATATTTTTATCAATATAAATAAATTAACAAAATTTTCGTAAAGTTCATGTCATTTTTCTAGGATTAAAACGCAGATAAAAAATCAGGTTAATTTCAGGTAAATCAGCGCTAACGTATTATACCATTTGTTCACGCAAACCTGTCAAACCTTACATTTCTGCAAATAAGGGTCGCACACCTTTTGATACACTTGTTAATGTCCTTGTATTGTCTAGAAAATGTGACCCGTCCATTCATATGCTTTTTGATTATAAAGGATTAAAGAGGTTGTGCGGAAGATACATGTTAACTTTACTATGTAAAACGTGTCTTCTTGTTTGATATGTATGCTTTTTTATCAATTATGAAATGTTAGCATTGAGTTATACTATTCTTTCACATTCTCAAATTTGGTTTATTTGTTTTCCTCACATGCCTTGATGATGGCATGAAATTTACTGTTTGCTTACTAATGTTTCAGTGATCTTTTATGGGTGAACTAATGAATTTTATGATTAAAGGCTTTCAATATTTTTATATATATTCAATGTGTTGATTATTCCTACTTAGTAAAATGTTATAGAGGTTGCCGATAAATGTAAAAAAGCATCGATTTGGTCAACGCTAAGAAATGTCTTTATATTGCTCTAAAGTTAATCGTAAAATACCTTCCAGTAATTATGAAGATGAAGAATAACAGTAAAAGCACTGTTCCCTAGATACTTTTGTTATTTTGTCATTTCATAGTATTGCCTGGTGTATGTTTGTTTACTGCTGTTTTGATGGTTGAACACTCTGAAACAAATCCTTAGACTTTTTGACTGCTAATTTCAAGATATTAGGAATGCTCATTGAAAGTCTATCCAATTAAGTTATTTATAATTGTTACAGCAACAATTGAATTAAATGAAATATTTGAAATAACTGATATGGCATGTCTTGCCTTCAGCACTGTTTCGACAATATCCATAAAACGAAAAATTGTTGTCAAACCCATATCCAACTGTTGATAAAACACAAAAGCAAATTTGTTTGTACATACTGGCGAAACATGTTTGTAGACATTCCTGAAAAATTTAAAATAAATTAGTTTAATCTTTCTACGATATAATAGTTGAAATAGCCAGGAACATAGTAGTAGTTTCTTGCACACGATTTTTCAAAATGTACATATTGTTTTTGTTATGTGTTGACCATAAAGCTACAATTTAATCCTATACTAATTGCATTTCTAATTGCCATAAGATAAACATGTACTCGTCATGTAAAAAGCTCTCTGCTTTAAACAAAATTCGCAGCTCAAGTCAAGATCTCTGCTCTTATAAAACCTTAGAAACACGCTATTCTACGCCAGAGTTAGTGTTAAAACGATTCGGTCCCAGAGCTTAAAATCCTTCGATCCTTTATGGGTTGATTTGGCATACATAAATAAAATACAAAAATAAGTAAGCAATGGACGAGGTTGTTAAATGTAATATATGCTTTTTGGTGCTTCTTTGTTAAATATTTGTTTGTTTTTGTTGGGATTAAGATTGTGACACGGTGTTGACTGCTGTACCCCTATTTTACATTTTTACCTATTATGTCTGTTTGTTTTATTCACGCATCGTTGTCAATATAATGGAATTTGATGCGACTGTCATACAAGTGAGAGGTTTAGCGCTATAAAACCAGGTTCAATCCACCATTTTCTACATAAGAAAATGCCTGTACCAAGTCAGGAATATGACAGTTGTTGTCCATTCGTTTAATGTGTTTGTGCTTTTGATTTTGCTATTTGATTAGGGACTTCCCAGCAAACACATAACGTAATCATAACGTTATGGTGTCGTTATATTTACGTTACGTTTACGTGTAACGTTAAAATAACAGTAGGAAAACGTTAAAAATAAACGTTATATTATGAAGTAACCAATCTTTAACGTTATTTTTTAAAGTTCTTATAACGTTGGTTGAACATTATGATTATCACGTCACATTTGCAATGTTGTACTTACGTAAAGGTAACGTTATTCTATTAACGTTTGTATTTGATTGAATTTTATATCATAGTACAACGTCTAAATAATGTTATTGAAAAACGTTAATTGATAACATTAATATAATGTTGAAAATAAACTTTATTTAGCAACCTATCTTTAACGTTATTTCTTTTATGTTCTTATAACGTTGGTTGAGCATTATGATTATTACGTCACATTTGTAAGAATATTCTTGGTTTTCAATTTTTTTTAAAGTGTTTTCAAAGATGTCTTTACTGGTTCTTGAAAGATGAAGATGCACTAGTGTCGTTCCTATTTAAGTTTAAATATATTTTACATTTAAAAATCTTAGTTGCAAAATTTAATAGTATTAGTACACTTGTGTTAGTATTATAGTAAATAATACTAATACAATATGTTTTAAAACATATTAATTTGTCATTATATATACATTGAGTTATGTCATGACTGAACATTGAGATATATTTTTTTAGCATTTCTGGAGCAGTAGCCGTACCTTTCTGGTTACTAGTTGTGTGTTGCATATGATATAAATTGTAACACTTCTTAGTGACTGGATAGGTTAAATAGAATCTTCCACGAAAAATACAAGCAAAGAACTTGTTATCGGATAATGTAACATAAAAAAATAGCTAAGTATGCAAGGACAGTTCCAGGATGAAGGTACAGAAATTGTTATGCAACACACAACTAGTAACCAGAAAGTTCGGAGTTCAGCATTTTTGTGATTTAACTTTTTACTGTATTTTTAAAAATAGCAAATTGTTAGGGTATATTATAAAATTCTGTAAAGGCGATCCAACATAAATGTATGACTTTTAAAATAAAACAGAAGTCAGAATTGACACACATGCACTGAAAAGTTAGTCTAAGAGCTGGTTCCATTTTACTGCATTATATTTTTGTTCTATTTTGATCGGAATTTACTTTAACTTAAATTATACAAAATTGATAAAATATGTATAATACATAACTGCTATTAGAAACTCACTTGAAATGAATACGGCTTTCCATTTTCTAAGGTGTTCGCACAATCACTGTAAGGATAACCTTGTCGGTTTATCTGTGTCTGTAAAATAATTATTAAGATAGTATGATGTGTACAAAAATATAGAAGCAACGCATTACAATGCTTTCAAAACATTGGTAAAAAGAAATTTTACGTATATGTCAATTAGACAATAACATAAAGAAAACTCATAAAAAAAAAAAAAAAAAAAAAATAACAAACAAACAGAAAAACAATCGTTATCGCCATGTATCTAGAGGGGAAACCATAACGATGTGGACAGACTACACTACGTATGATTTCAAGAATACCGAATCGTATACCTTTAACTTCTTTGTCATCGGCGATCGATAACAATGATTTTAATTTAAGCATACATAGTCTGCCAGAGGCCTTCCAGTGGGGATGTCAATAATCACGTGTTTCAAATTTCGATACATACAATAAAAATTTCTTTAAACAAAATCTAAAAGGTACTTGTTTTAAATATTCTTTTTATCGTCACACTCGACAGTTTCATTTGAAAGAATGATAAATATGCGGAGCTAATATCATTGAATTATAGAATATCAATGTCGTAGAACTTATAGCATTATAGGCATGTGCTTACAAATAATTTTATATAACATTATTTTTCAAAAGAATTTTACGATTGGTCGAGTATTCAAAGCACTCTTATATACTTCTATATATTTTATATAGAAGATATAAGTTGAATGATACGAAGAGTCCGTACAAATTTTGGAAAACCACGCTTGTAAAATCGCTTTGAAGACAAAAAAAAAGTAATTGCTAACACTAGCACATTCATTACTACTTTAAAGCTAGTTAAATTTTATTTTAATATTTAGAGAACGTGCGATATCATAAATAATTTGATTATCGATTATCAGTGAAGAATGTCAAAATATTCAATGTTAATCAAAACACAAGAGTTATTCCAGTAGTATTTTTCGAGTTATTTGTTTTTAAGGCGTTGAGAAACATTCGGCGACCTATACGTTGTCTGGCGTACAAATTTAATCCTGGTATCTATGATGAGTTTATTTAAATGTCCATTGTAAAATCAACGCATTCAGTAGGCGTAAGAGACGAACTGTTACCTCATCTAACCCAGTCAATTGATGAACTGATCGCACCAAGTTATGGGCTCGTCAACGCTGATATTAATTAAACAATAACTGTTTATCGCTTTTTATCGTGACAACAAAGAAATAATAGCAGCTACTACCAATGACCTGCCATCAAAACTGAATACATAAAAGAAAATTGATTGATTGATTGATTGGTGCTTATCGCTATTTTTAGCACTATTGCGGTATTTCGTGGCGGTCAGTTTTTATTGGTGGAGGAAGCCGTAGTGCCATAAAATAAGAAACAAATCTTAAGATATAGTTGACAAAAAGATTTAACGAGTTTCCGACTAAGAACATGCCAATACAAATAACTTTGTGAGTACTCCGCACAGTTAAATACCATTGGTTCACACTTTACTATTGTACCACATCATGCGACAATCGATTATATTGTTTACTTGATGATAATGGTAGAAATGTAAGCGAATACAGATAAAATTCAAGGTTTGCTGATTGCTTTAACCTACGCATGTCCCCCTCCCCCTTCACCCCTCAAAAAAAAAGGAAAAAAACGCAGTAAAAATATCCATCAGATGTCAGGACGTTGTCTTCTACAAAGCATTTCTAATTCATTGTTTTCGTTCATAATTGTTCCTACAAGTTTGCTTGTAGTATTAACGAATGGACAATGAGGAGCAATTACATTAACAGGTTAGTTAAGACAATTTGATACTCATCGACATAATTCTTTAAAGCTTACAAATTAGCCAAATGTCAATTTCCTTATATGAGACAAACCTAATCATTTCGACCTTCATGGTGTTTTAAGTTTTGGACAGGAATGACTTGTAATAATGCGACATTACAAATGAATGAGATTTGTTTTGGCTTAATATTACTTACATTTCTTCATATAATTGCAATATCTTACCAATTTCATTTTAACGTGAGTTTCTGTTCCACCAGATAAAACAATTCCGTCATTCTCTGGAACTACCAATTGGTTCTCTCCATGCAACACCAATACCAAGCCGTAGCCTTCAGATAAATGGACAGCTTCGTACGTTTCTAGGTTAATAGTCATCTCCAAACCTACATGTATATTTCAAGTGAACACAATTAGTTAGTAGTTGACTAAATTGTAAATAATCAGTGAAAAAGTATACATTTATCTATCAGTAGGGTAGTCAGTGGACGCTTCCCATTTAGAAAATACGTACAGTACAGTATTGTATAATATTATATTAAGACAACGTTGATGATTCAGCAGACAAGCATATTATAATGATATAAGAATATGAAAATAACAGCTTGTATGGCTCCTTGCAATTACAACAACACTTTAAAATTTCACGTTTTATCGCCATTAAATAATTAATCACACATAGGGTAAATTAGCGACATTGTGATTGGTTTAACGCTGTCACATGGTAACCCATATGTCTCCGTAGGGGTATCATGACAACACGTCTACTATTAATGGTGACGTCATCTATTTATGTTATTGTATTTCATAGTTTATTTTTATATAAAACTTGCCAGAATAAGTCCCGTGTGCGATAAATTCTTAATACGGTTCTTTGGTAGCAATACGCAGTTTGGAATTTAGTTTCTCATTTTGGTCCCTGTAAATTTTTCAACTATGAAAGTTATTGTGCAACAACACTGATTTTTAGATAGCTGAAGAATAAAATAGCCTTCAAATAAAATTGAGAATGGAAATGGGGAATGTGTCAAAGAGACAACAACCCGACCATAGAACAGACAACAGCAGAAGGTCACTAACAGGTCTTCAATGCAGCGAGAAATTCCCGCACCCGGAGGCGTCCTTCAGCTGGCCCCTAAACAAATATATATACTAGTTCAGTGATAATGAACGCCATACTAAACTCCAAATTGTACACAAGAAACTAAAATTAAAAATAATACAAGACTAACAAAGGCTAGAGGCTCCTGACTTGGGACAGGCGCAAAAATGCGGCGGGGTTAAACATGTTTATGAGATCTCAACCCTCCCCCTATACCTCTAGCCAATGTAGAAAAGTAAACGCATAACAATACGCACATTAAAATTCAGTTCAAGAGAAGTCCGAGTCTGATGTCAGAAGATGTAACCAAAGAAAATAAACAAAATGACAATAATACATAAATAACAACAGACTACTAGCAGTTAACTGACATGCCAGCTCCAGACTTCAATTAAACTGATTGAAAGATTATGTCTTCATCATATGAATATCAGGCACAATCCTTCCCGTTAGGGGTTTAGTATCATACCATCATAACATATATGAGAAGAACATAACCCGTGTCATGCCAACAACTGGTTTTTAAATAAATGTGTTTAGTGCCGATGCAAAGACCCTATAAGTGAATCAATATTAACGCCAAAATATGCAATCTTTAATGACCTGACAACAGTATCTCAAAGTTGGTTTATATGAACATCAAGATTGATTTGTGCATGTTTTATAGGCCAATTACTGTTTGACAGTCCGTATTTTCACATCCCGTACCGCCCATAGGTCCAGAAATTATTGTAGTGTTTTTCAACATATTTTTGACCCTCGAACTTTTAAATTCAGTTTTATGGAAAAATGAGGTGAAATGCATATGATTTTTTATTTGACCTATGAAAAGTCAAATGTCAATGGTTTCAGAAAAGGTAACACTCTAATGGATTGAAATTCTACTTTGGACCAAATTTGGGGGACTTTTGTGACATTTTCATCCCCTTTTTTGCAATATTTTGCAGATTGTTGCCATCGTTACACCAAAAACAGATTATATTTCACCATTCTAACTATTGGAAATAAAATCTATGGAAGATTCTGTTTCCATACATATGCACATACATAACACAAACAGTAAGCCTTATTTGTTAGAAAGCAAGGGAAAGAGGGTGATCAAAATCCATAGGGGATTCGGCATTCGGCCTTACCCTTTTTAGATCTACTCAGGAATAGATAACCTTAGCAGTATTTGGCTAAACCATTCGGATATTGGGTCCTGAAAGATCTTCAACCTCGTGCTTTATTTGGCCTTTTAATTTTTTGTATTCCAGTGTCATTGATTTGTAGACAAAACGCTCGTCTGGCGTACAAAATGTTTAGCCTTGTATTTATGATGAGTTTATATACTATGGCTTAAGGTCTCTGGATTTTCACTCATGTAGATTTCTAATTATAATGTATATACATGTTTATTACAATACGACAATGGTTTAAGCCAATCGTATCATTATTATTAATGAGATGTTTCGTGTTGATATCATTTTTTTTTTATATCTACCTACATCAAAATTGAAGATTTACCTAAAGATTAACTACAACGGCTGAAGCGAACGAAACCTGAGTATTATATTCACCCTGTTTGGTGATATGGAAGAGACAAAACCACAAAATATGTTCGGAGGGTCATGCTTATTGCCATCTCCGCTAGCCAAGGATTACGAGGGGAGCGGGTCGGATCGTTACCCTTGGCTAGCGAAGATGGCTCATTGAGGATATAAACTGTTTATCAAATTTAAGGCTTTACAGTTGTTGATAATTCATTAGTTTTCTATTTCTTAAATAAATTACCACTAGAAGGCCCTGCTGTTCTGGCAATAAAATTTGTTGTATTTATTGTGTAGCATATACCATAGTACGATGATAGGAAGAATACTATACGCTCGCTGTAAATAGTAATATAAATACCAATCAATGAACTGTAAAAAAAATTCACAATAATCATTACGTTGGAAAAATTCTTTACATCGATAATTATATAATAGTTATTGAAAATCTGGTCATTATCGCGATATATGGACTTCCCACAGGACAGTGGTGTTGACTAAGACATCGATAATGACTGAGCCGTAGGCGAGGTCATTATCGCTGTCGCAGTCAATACCACTGTCCTACGGGCAGTCCATATATCACGATAATGACCAGTTTTTTCAATAACTATTATGTTTATTTCATTGAGGAACCATGTTTTTAAAAATTCTCATAAATTCAAATTATTCAAAGCAAACTCGAGTTATTGTACGATTTCTATAGGAAAGAGTGAAGACCAGTCATTGTGATAACTATAATTTAAGTGCAATTTTTCAGTATATGAATGCTTTCAAGCCTTCCAGTTCAGCCATGTTCCAAACGTCTGAATCGCGATTGCGTTTTATTAAAGAGACATCACTCTAAACAGAAAAACCACGCCCACTGCTCATTAACATGTAAAAGTCCGTTAACGACCGGTTTTCTGGTCCGTTTTTTTCTGCTAAAGACCGATGGAATTTTTTACTGAAGAATAAAGAATGTCATGTGGCCCCTTGTTATCCAATAAGAGAACTTATTCTTAACCGATATGAAATAAACATGCTTACTAATCGTTAATAAAGTAAACAAGTTGGGAGGATTTGATCTTTCTATTAGGGTAAACTTATAGTTTTACTATTGAATTTTAATCTTTTCATCAGTATTTAGTCTATAAATATGTCTTTATTGTATTTGTACCGCTTTAAAATATAATAAAATTGCCTTTGTTATCGTGTTTTTCTCTGTATTTTGAAGTCTTTCCTCCGAATTTAATGTCGGCGTTGCAATATTGCATGTTTATCTAGTACTTATGGTGTTGCATGATGTATATTTAATTTTACATTTGTAATTTTGGAGCCTTTTATAGCTAGCTATGCAGTATGGGTGTTACTCATTGTCCAAGGCCGTTCGGTGACGTGACCTACAGTTGCTAACTTCTACGTCATTTGGTCTCTTGTGGAGAGTTGTCCCATTGGTAATCATACCACATCTTCTTATTTTTATATTCACGATCCAAAAAAGGAAATTTAAGTATAAGGAATTGTCGTAAATAAAAGTACATGTACCTTGCAGACATTTATCGTACATGTATTCTGCCGACGTTAATTGCATTGTGCAGATGTTAATAGCAATCAACTACCCAACCTAGTACATGTATTATTTAATAGCTAGACTACTCTATAAACTGTTAACATTTATGGCTATTGTTGAAAGCTGATTGATGACCCCTCTGAACTATATAAGACCCAGCTTTGGACTCGTACAGAAGATTCCGACAGGAGATTCCGTCAAGGTCTCCCCCACCCCCCTTGTTGGTAGGCTGGAATTAATTCACTAACCATCCGAATTACTCAGTCAGGACCGAACAGTTATACCACTATACGATCAGGTGTCCGTGTGACGATATGAACATTAAACTTTAAAGACAGTTTGTGAACAATCGAACATTTGAACTTTAGAAACAGTCTTAACTTTGTAATTACATAATCAAATTTATTTATCCACTTACTGACTTCGTTACAATAGTTGAGGTGGACCTTGGTTTTAAGTGACAATTATGTTAGATGTGCATTTAGTGCGGTAAAATTTGTACCGGAAATATGTTTTTACAAAATGTAAAATTGGTATTTTTATCAACATTTTACATATAATCAGTCAGATAGCTCCAATCAAATAGAAATTAAAAGAAATTATGACAATACCACTCTTAAAACATATGTCATCTTGAAGGAGAATAGGAAAAATAGTCCAAGAAACGGGTGCTAAAAATAATACAAATAATGGCAACAACAACCATCAAGGATATGATACTTATATTTTAATACATCATGAGTATGTTTATAAAAGAAAGAACATATGGTGTGATTGCCAACGAGACAAATCACCACCAGAGACCAAAATGACGTAAAAGTTCAGTTTGTTCGTTTTATGTAATTGCATTATGCTTCGAAATATAACGTTGTGACTTTAATTAACAGTTTAAATTACCGTGTTTTCTAGTATTGTATCGAGTATGCATATGTATCCTTTCTATTTGTTCTATGTTTCGTCTCATACTATATTTTCGTTGATAAATCTATTTATAGCGAAACTTACAAAGAATATGTAGTTCCTCTGAATGAACACGACATAAGCAAATCGTTGATTTGATGTACAAAGTCGACCCTGTCTATTCTGAAAATATAGGACAACATCTACGAATAACAAAAGGTAAACAAAATATTGATGAACTGATGGACAACTAACACACATAGCAATCAACAGCTAAAAAGAATAATGTAGTACAAACATTCTTAAAATGTGTAACATGTTGAAAGAAAACGATTCCTGAAATTTGGATGTAGAATCTCCTATTGAAGTTCCCGAAGACCTTATAAATTAATTTAAGGTGTATCAAAACTTCGACTTAGAGTCAGGTAAAAAGTAAATCTTTAAGTTTGAGTAACTTGGCAATGAAAAAGTTTAATCCAAGAAAAGATAGGAAGCATCATGGCAAAAAATTAAAAAACAAAAGGACGAACAAACAGTTCAAAATAACTACACAGAACACAAGTTCTGGTTTTGTGCTAGCCAGCATTCACTACTTCAAGTCTATACCCCCAGATTGCACTTTTACAAGTTCCACGTTCATATAAAATACGGCCTGCCAAATTATAACAACTGATTTTAACATAGTCAACAACAGTTTTACACAAAATGTGTTTATCAAATGTTCAAAATACCGTTAGCCTAAATCCATCAACTAGAAACACAACTTTAAATTCAAAGAAAAGATCACGTTTTACCTATTGGCTAGATTCATTGAGGGTGGTAAAGGGGGGTGCTTGCACGGAAAAAACGTGAAATAAGACATAATTTCACGTTGAACGTGAAATTATTTCTGTCATGAACGTTGCACGAAAAATAAAGACTTTGATGTGAACCTTTTGTGACTGAGTCACTGTCTTCTTGTATATATAAACTCTCTGTTTTACTTGATATTCCCGATTTAGTATACACATTTATAATATAAATGGTTTACAGCTTTTAAAAAAGTATATAACGATCTTCTTAACTTTTAAAATGCAAATATCCCGCAGACACGAAAGTGTATTCTTGATCTATTTCATTGTCTTTATTAACAAGAATAAACACGTTGTCATGTTATCCATGCCTACCACGACTCGTGGTTAAAAGTATCAGAAATAGGAAGTTTGAACTGACAGATGATGGAAAGTGCAAACACGTTAAAGCTCATCACTGTTAAGATGTCGATCCTATTTAAAGTCATTCTTTTCATTTTACCAAAAAAATTCAAAGAATCGGCAATGAGGAAGCATGTATCTAGGAGATCCGAAAAGTGTTCACAAGTTAAAAACATATCAGATTTGAACTTAATATGAAGTCATTATGTAAAGTTGTTTCTTAAATAAATATAACGGAAATATTTGTTGGATTGACGAACAGAAGCACAAGTTGATTGTACTATATCCCTAATCCTACAGCTTTCCCTAGTAATTCATACCATGCAGGTCTCATTAGTCCTTTTATTTTTTTTATGTTTTCCAACATTTATACAATCATGAACTAGAGACATATATGGCAATACAGCAATCCATCAACATATTCATACCAGAGGACTATATAGTAGCATATGGTACAACGATTTTGAACTTATCGCAAACTGAATCAAATCGAAAGAATACGACAAAAATATATATGTATACATGGTATAGCCCGTTACAAATTTGTTTAGACAATAAAATGTCAGTGTGATATAAGTTACTTAATACTTAATGAACAATAAGTTATGCCAAACCAGTACATATATTTTGGAAGCTCCAAAATCGATAAAGACCAACACCAAAGGCCTTTCCGCTTTATCAAAAAACAAAATTTAATCCATTTTTTTCTTGACGATCCCGGCTGCCAAGTGTTTGAATTTTATTTGAAAAATACCGAGCACGCAAAATAAGCATTTGAAAATCACGATGCACGTAAAATTAAATTAGCAGAGCACGTTTAACGAGGCACCTGTCTTGCACGACTGAACGTCAAATAAAAAAGTAAAAACACGATGAACGTGAAATAAAAAACGGCGATCACGTTGCACGAAAATAACCCTTTACCACCCTCTTCATTCTCGGCATAGGTGTCGAGGATTCTCGACATAGTTGTCGAGGATTATGCAAATCAATAGACAAACCGTATATACGTAGTTTTACTATTCTTTCCTAAGGGGTTAAAGCTGTGTGGTTCTTGATAATAAGCATTTAAAATTTAGCGGGTCTACGGATACTCGTGCTACATCTTCCTACAAAGATCTAAATAACGTTACATTAGAAAGTTTACAAAAGGAAAATATTGACTATTCGGTTGAATACATTACGACACGAGAGATTATTTGAATCTATCACTGTGAACATTGTGAACCTTTCATTTTTATGTAGAAAAATTTTCAGCAGTATATTCATAGGTTGCATCGTGATCCCAGTTGATTTGATATTCAAAGACTTGTTTTCTATCATGATGTAATTCCTTGATAGAGGATGACGATGAATAGCTGTTTTACGTTCAGCGGCTAATCAATTATATTTTCAAGACGAGAACATGTTAAAGTTGTTGTTATATGAATATTAACCAGATTTGTCCGACACACTGAGTCGGATTTTTTGCATGGTAGTTTATAAGGTAACAGTCTGCAGAAATAACAATAAGGAACAAAAATCGTCTCTTCGATAAACTTTATTGTCGAAACGAACATAGATGTTGTCAAGGGGAAACGAGAAACGTACTTGTGATTATCAACACATACTAGCCGGCCTGGCGTCGTGATTAGTTATAAACCTGAAAGCGTTCGTACATGGAAAGTATATGATAAACATATATTTCC